AAGCTAAACCCTCAACCCTCAACCCTCAACCCTAAACCCTAAACCCTAATCTTAAAGCTGAGGTGTCCAACTTCTCCGCGCTTTTCTGCCGCCACAGGCGGGGCGGGGGCAAGCCTGTCGGTTCACTCCAGAGCGTCGGTTTATAAGGTTTTAGGGTTTAGGCCCCCCCCCCCCCCCCCTAGATTCTCCCCCATACTTGAGGCTATTTAGGGATTTTAAAAGCCTACTTGAAGGTTACTTAAGGGGGGGGCAGTATAGAGGAGGGTAGTAGCCATGATGAGGAGGTCTGGGCTTCGGTGTATGTGCATGAGGTTGGGTGTTTTCTCCATCTGGGAGGCCACGGGACCCTCTCGAACCTTTGGTTCCTGGAGAAGGTTTAGGGTTTAGGGTTTAGGGTTTAGGGTTTAGGGTTTAGGGTTTAGGGTTTAGGGTTTAGGGTTTAGGATTTGGGGTTTAGGGTTTAGGGTTTAGGGTTTAGGGTTTAGGGTTTAGCACTGGAAGCCTGTGCTTTGGGCAGTTTCTGGCAGCACCCACGGGAGTCCGGATGTCAAAAGAGTTTACGGCTAGGCCCTGAAAAGGCCATTGTACAGGCCCTAAAGCCTTCGAAGTCTGGAAGTATGTTGCGTTCTCGTGATGTGAACTGCAGCAGCAGCTCTGCTTTGAGAAGCCTCAGCAGTAGACTAGGTAGCCTTTAACCTTTTTTTGTATTATAACCCCTATAAAATCCCCAAAAATTCTCCTTTAGTTCATTTAGTTCCCCTATGTTTCTGGACAACTAAAAAAGCACGTGAAGGGCCATGGCACCGACTCGGGTTACACCCAAGAAGGACGGAACACTGTTGAGCCCGGAACCCCAAACCCCAAACCCCTCAATTGAATCGATGAGTACTTGGGATCTATCCCTAAAACCCTACACCAAGAACCCTAAACCCCGGTGTTTCCGAGAGATTTCTGGCAGGCAGCTGGCCAGCTGCATCGCAGCCAACCCGGTGTCTTGGAGCCCTCAACCCTAAACCTTAAACCCTAAACCCTAAACCCCTACTTACAAAGACCGTGGCACTTTGGGTTTGCTTGCGGTTCCATGATACTTTTCTTATGAGACGAAGAAAAGCACGAAACTCAAAGCCCTAGAGCGGGAGCACCAGTCTTGCGGTGAGGATGTGTGGTTTCAGGTGTGGCGTTTTAAGTTCTAGGGTTTGTAGGGTTTAGGGTTTACGGTTTAGGGTTACGGGGTTCAGGGTGTTCAGGGTGTTCAGGGCGTAGTAAACGCTATGGTGGGGGGGTCCCTGTAAACTTAAGAGGATTTATAGTAGCACAGGGTACATGACCCCCTAAACCCTAAACCCTAAACCCTAAACCCTAAACCCTAAACCCTAAACCGGGCTCATTTGGTCCCCAGGGCGGTGGGGAGAGGAACCCAGAGTTGGTCAGGGCAGCCCTGCCTGTAACGTACCCTGAAGCCCTCAACCCCTATCGTACCTTAAAGCCCGAAAACCCCAAAACCCTCAACGCCGAAAACCTCTAAACCCCCCAAATCCCCGAAGCCCCTGAACCCTAAACCCTTACGCCCTAAGCCATCGAGTTCAGGACGATGCCTCGTCCCCTGAATGTGCGCACTGGCGCAGCCAGATTAACCCGCACGAAATCCTTTCTGTGGCCCTAAACACCCTTAACACCCCAAACACCCTAAACACCCTAAGGGTTTAGGGTTTAGGGTTTTAGGGTTTTAGGGTTTTAGGGTTTTAGGGTTTTAGGGTTTTAGGGTTTTAGGGTTTTAGGGTTTTAGGGTTTTAGGGTTTTAGGGTTTTAGGGTTTAGGGTTCCCTACACCCCAAACCATGCCCAATTTCGGCCCCACGCCGTCTCTCAAAAACTCGACACACGGAGACCTTCAGTCCTCTCCCACTTATGTCTGTGTCTATATACACATGCGGACAGAGATATTCCGATATTCCACTGTGATCTATTTCATCTTGTTGCTGGGGCCCTCAACCCCAATAGAACCTTGGCCATGAACCCCAAACCCGACCCGAAATCCTAAACCCTAAGCCCCAAACCCCAAAATAGCCCAAATCCTAAACCCTAAACCCTAAACACCCCACTCTAAGCTTCCCACGTCGGCGTTTCACTGCTGCCCAGGCCGCCTGCGACGCTTCCGCGGGGGCGAAGAGACGCCTGGAGGTCCATATGGGTTTGGGCTTCAGACTTTGGGGGTTTTGGGGTTAGGGTTTGGGGTTTTGGGGTTAGGGTTTAGGGTTTAGGGTTTAGGGTTTAGGGTTTAGGGTTTAGGGCTTACCGATGTACCCTAGATTGCTTCCTTGCCATATCTTCAAGTTCACAGCATGGATCTTAGTAGCGCCGCCCTGGCACTCATGGGGCGGCAAGGGGTCATCCCTCTGAGGAGACGCAGGTCTGAGATACCGGAGCCTCAGTTTAGGGTTTAGGGTTTAGGGTTTAGGGTTTAGGGTTTAGGGTTTAGGGTTTAGCTCACCTTACCCCAATGGAGAAGCGGCACCTTGCTGTCCGCATTTGGTCGGATCGAGGCAGCCAAAGTCTCCTTGGCATCCTTGACCCCGCCTGGGGAAACCCGGCCTGGCTGCTTGCGGAAAGTTCTGCCTGCCTGCAAGAGCGGCGAACGGCGGCCGAGCATGAAGTTCTGGCGGAGGGTTTCGGGTTTAGGATTTATAGGGTTTAGGGTTTAAACCCTAAACGTTTAGGGTTGCATGAAGCTCTGGCGGAGTGGTTCAAGAGCAACGCCCAGAACCAGCCGCCCGTAAGAAGCTCAGCCCGGGTTCACAAGGGTTTCGGGTTTCGAGTTCAGATCGGTCCCCCGATCTCCTTGCGGGGTATAAGGAGGGACCCCTAGAAGGGACCCTTCATCTTATTTCCCGATTTAACCTATATATACATATGTATATGTATTCATTTTTGGTTTACATGTTTTTTTTACACCTTATTTATGTAAGTCCCTACATACCTAAGTAGCCTAAATAGGCCCCAAAGAACCCCCAAGGTCCTTTAGAAGGGTCCCCCCTTTAGATCCTTGAATCTAGTCACGAGCTGACGCAGGCCTTAGTCTACTTTGTGCTTAAGAACCGCCAAATCAGAGCTGATACTACTCCCTGTCTTGCCCTTACACCCGAAACCCTAAACCCGAATAGATTGCTATTTCTTTAGAGTTTCTAAGTCGTAGTAGCAAATTCAAGCTCTAAGCCGGCGTGTACATTCGGAGTCCCACAGCCCCAGTGACCTCAAAGGATCAAACGCTTGAAGGCTAATGGGTAGGGTTTAGGGTTTAGGGTGTAGGTTTCGGGTACCTACTAACCAATTGTAACTGTACTTATAACCCAAAATATATCCATATCAGGGCACTTACGGGGCCTAGAAGCGGGGTTGTAAGTACAGCTATCATTGGTTCAGAGGTACCCCTAAACCCTAAGGCCCAAACCTTCAACCCTAAACCCTCGAAAAATTCAAGTAGAGGCTTTATCCTTCAACCCTACATATTGCATCCCAGCAGTGGGGCTGCGAGCAGGTAGCAAACCCCCCCCCCCCCCCCCCAAATCTTGAAATCTTGAATTAGAAAGCTAAACCCTAAACGCTAAACCCTAGACCCTTTGCGGTCTTTTGCCGCCCGCACGGCGGCTCCCGAAGTACCTCCGTAAACGGTTTCGGGATGATAAGCAGGGTTTAGAGTTTAGGGTTTAGGATTTTGATTAAAATGATTTGGGGTTCCTTGAGAACGCTCTGATGGGTACAGGGTCGTGTTTAGAGGGCATGAACCTCAGTTGATTTCTGGGAGTGTTTTTGTTTTTGTGGGGGGGGGGGGGGTGCTACCTTCTAGGGTTAACCCTAGACCCTAAATCCTGAAAGGTTGTGTTCATTGACACGTGGCGCCTGTTCCTCCCTGCTCTTGGGCTTCAACTACGTACTGCAATCATCACACCGGCCAGCTCAGCCAGGGCAGTTCCACCAACGACACGTACGACAACAGCACTGGTAACTCCACCGGCGATCAGGCCTGTGAGCTGAAAACCGGAGTCAAGCTGCAGCAGAGCCACTACGAGATTTCTTCCGGTTTTAAGCCATTCTGCTCTTGTTTGGGTTCGAAACCGGTTTTAAGCTGACCGGTCGTATTGTCCCGTGGAAGGTTCAAAACCGGTTCCAACCCCATAGAAGAGCAAACCAACCTCAGGATTGGGTTCAAGCGGTTTTAACCCAAACCTAATTCTTGCACGGGACATTTCGAGATGCGTTGCCGAGGGCAGGGTAGTGCAGGGTCTTCGTCCGTATGATGGAGTCATAAGGATTCGAGGGTGTGGGTTTCCATGGTCGGGGGAGCGGAGACGCAGGACAGTACACAAAACATGTTTCATGAATTCAGAAATTGAGGCTTTGACTGGGGTCCCGGATACCGAAAGTACAAATTTCGAAGTCTTCCTAACCCCAAACCCTAAACCCTAAATCCCAACCCTAAACCCTAAACCCCTAAACCCCCCCTAGACTTGGGGTTTCGGGTCTAGCCAAAGAGCATGAACGATTGGACCGAACCTCCCGTCCCGTACCCGACACCCCGTCACCTGAAGCCACTAGCTCAAACCTCTGCTCGAATCTGCCAAGGCTTAGACAAGCTTGCGGGCTTTCAGCCGGACATTTACCGTACATTCCATTATAGTAACCTAATGGTTCTGAGAGGAATAACCTTCTCTTGTTTACAAGCCCGCAAGAAAGTGCTCCACTCCAATCTTTTGCAGCCTCTTTCTTCGTAAGTTTCATCTTTTTTGCGCCCCATCTTCAGGCCAACCCTAAACCCATCCAAGAGTCAGGATTTGGGGGGGGGGGGGGGGGGGGGGGAAGAAGATGAAAAAAACAGAAAAGAAGAATGAAACTTCTGAGAATAAATCAGAATTACCTGCCCAGATTAGTCAAATAATGTAGGGTTTGGAACCGTACTTTTCGCATGACCTCCTGCGGTTTTGCTCACCCAACGGTCTTCGTGGCATGGCCCATCATAGTCGGGCGCTTCATCCGGGTTTAGGGTTTAGGGTTTAGGGTTTAGGGTTTAGGGTTTAGGGTTTAGGGTTTAGGGTTTAGGGTTTAGGGTTTAGGGTTTAGGGCGAAGAGAAGTGCTTAGCTAAGCCCAGCAAAGCCAGGACAACATGACGTCTGAGGACAACATGACGTATGGCAACAACACGGATAACTATACCAGCTCGAATGGCAGCTGGTACGACAACTCTAGCGACCAGAAGGCGCATGTGGGCTCAGGGTTTAGGGTTTTTAGGGTTTAGGGTTTAGGGTTTATAGGGTTTAGGATTTTGGGGTTTAAGGCTCTGTCAAAGGCCAGGTCTTATTTGCACAGCGATGAGGTTTCCAGGGCTCGGGGTGCACATAAATCCTTAAAGGCCTTCATAGACTCCCCCACCTAGCGCACCAATAACCCTCAATCCCGAACCCTAAACACTTCTCAGGAAGCTGTCTCTCCACTGTAGGGTTCTCAAGAAAGCCAAGCCCAAAAGCAGGGTCTGGGGTGTTAGCTAAAGCCGCGCCGAAACCTTAAACCCGAAGGCCCCTATAAGCCCTACACCAGAACCCCCTAAACCCCAATTCCTTTTGAGCCGATTCTTAGCGCCTAGCTGAGCCCAGCAAAGCCAGGACAACATGACGTATGACGACGGCAACATGTCGGGTTCTTACGGCAACAACACGGATAACTATACCAGCTCGAATGGCAGCTGGTACGACAACTCCAGCGACCAGAAGGCACATTTGGGCTTAGGGTTTAGGGTTTAGGGCTTAGGGTTTATAGGGCTTATAAGGTTTAGGATTTAGGGTGCAGGGTTTAAGGCTTTGTCAAAAGCCAGGTCTTATTTGCACAACGATGAGGCTCCCAGTGCTCGGGGTGCACGTGAATCCTCAAAGACCCTCCTCGGCTCCCAACTAGCGCACCAATACCTAAACCCCGAACCCTAAACACTTCTCAGGAAGCTGTCTCTCCACTGTAGGGTTCTCAAGAAAGCCAAGCCCAAAGCAGGGTCTGGGGTGTTAGCTAAAGCCGCGCCGAAACCTTAAACCCGAAGGCCCCTAAGCCCTACACCAGAACCCCCTAAACCCCAATTCCTTTTGAGCCGATTCTTAGCGCCTAGCTGAGCCCAGCAAAGCCAGGACAACATGACGTATGACGACGGCAACATGTCGGGTTCTTACGGCAACAACACGGATAACTATACCAGCTCGAATGGCAGCTGGTACGACAACTCCAGCGACCAGAAGGCACATTTGGGCTTAGGGTTTAGGGTTTAGGGCTTAGGGTTTATAGGGCTTATAAGGTTTAGGATTTAGGGTGCAGGGTTTAAGGCTTTGTCAAAAGCCAGGTCTTATTTGCACAACGATGAGGCTCCCAGTGCTCGGGGTGCACGTGAATCCTCAAAGACCCTCCTCGGCTCCCAACTAGCGCACCAATACCTAAACCCCGAACCCTAAACACTTCTCAGGAAGCTGTCTCTCCACTGTAGGGTTCTCAAGAAAGCCAAGCCCAAAGCAGGGTCTGGGGTGTTAGCTAAAGCCGCGCCGAAACCTTAAACCCGAAGGCCCCTAAGCCCTACACCAGAACCCCCTAAACCCCAATTCCTTTTGAGCCGATTCTTAGCGCCTAGCTGAGCCCAGCAAAGCCAGGACAACATGACGTATGACGACGACAACATGTCGAGTTCTTACGGCAACAACACGGATAACTATACCTGGTACGACAACTCCGGCGACCAGAAGGCGTAGTGGCGCAGGATGTGTTGATTCGTGTTGATCTGACTCTTGAAAACCCTGGCCTTATTTGCATATTTGCATAGCGATGAGGTTTCCAGGGCTCCGGGGTGCACTTAAATCCTTAAAGGCTTTCCTAGACCCCCCCCCCCCAACTAGCGCACCAATAACCCTAAGCTACACTCGCTCAACCCCGAAACCTAAACCCACCCCAAACCCTGTCTCTCGCGGTAGGGTTCTCAAGAAAGCCGCGCCCAACAGCAGGGTCTGGGGTCTCAGTTGCCACTCCCAAAACCCTAAACCCTGAAACCCTGACACCCCTAAGCCCTGAACCTTAAACCCTAATCCCTTTGAGCTGATTCTTGCCTGGGCCTCTTCATCACATCAGTGTCCCTGGGCCGCTGGAAATCAGACCTGCTGTTTAGGGTTTAGGGTTTGATCTGAAAGCCTACCGATCTTCATACCCGTCACCCTAAATCCTAGACTTCACAATCCCAGCACGCTTTCGAGTGCCACAGGTACCTTGTTGGCGTGGGTTGTTGTGATTTAGGGTTGAAGGCTGTTTTCGGGTGAGGTCTCGGGTTCATGTGCCTGGGGTTTAGGCATCTCAGGGCTTCAGGAGAAACACCCCAGAAGCGACCCGCAACCCCCAAGCTCTTCCCGCGAAACGCGCGCTCGCGATCTGGCGGACAGGGCTGCGATCTGGCCGTGCTGGAGACGTGTCGCTTTGCTCGGGGTCGGGGCTGCGCATATGCGTCTTTCAGGCTTTAAAGGGATGGCTCCTTTCGGTTTCTTGGTGGCCTTGTACACCCAACCTACCTGGCTCACTCAAGAACCCTATCGTCTGCGTGCTAGTCTGTGATAAGGACCCCTGAGTCGTCCCTAAACCCTAGACAATTTCATGTCCAGTCCCTTCAATTCAATGCCTCAAACCCGACTGTTAACATATCTATAGTGTAGTAGTAGTCTATAGCAAGAGTAGGTGTGTGGAGGTTCTTGAAGCAGGGCTTGCCTGGTGCTGGGGGTTTACAAAAACTTGGTTGTGGGGTTTTTTGTGGTACCTTCAACCTTCACGGGGCTACCCAGGCAATGCCTCCGTGCACAATGTCAGCGCCTACGTGTCTCGGCTCTGTTCTCCAATACGCCTCGTTCGTGCTAAGGCCCCGTATAGGGTTTTGTGTAGGAAGTGCCACACCGACCCAAAGAATCCTAAGCACCTATATGGGGGTCACTTGCCCAAACCATAATGGTAATTCCTATTACAGAAACCCTACTTTCTACGATGCAGGTACTTAGGACCCTTTGGGCGAGATGCACGAGGTTTCAGGTTCAGAGGTCAGGGTTCGGGTATCTGATGAAAAGAGATCAAATGCAGAGGCTCCGGACAGTAAACCCTAAACCCTAATTGAGCAGGACCCTAACGAGGCACGAGCTCACTGCATCCCGATATGGGGGTTTACGAAAATAGGGGACCCGAAATAGACTCCCAAGTAGTAGGATTCCTTCATCAAAAGGACCCAACAGGGTACACCGAATATCGGAAGCTCCTGTATAGCCAAAAGGTGAGCTCCGTCAACATCAGCGCCATCAATGGCACGGAGGCGTACGACATGTGCATGGCCACTCGCCCCCGACATTGGATTCTGATAAAAACCCTTGACACCATAAGGGGCTGTAATGCTAGGGTTTAAGGTTTAGGGTTATACCGAACGGCAGGTTCAGTGAAGATTAGGGTTGGCTTGTTTGGTTTTGAGCTATGAGTGTTTATGTACAGCAATTAGTTCAAGCCCCTGTGGTTTTAGAGTTTCAGTGCTCAGGGGGCATCTCCACAGGAAGTGTTGACCATTTCCATTGTCCAACCATACACCACTCCAAGCTCAGGGGGTGGACGGCGGGCGAGGAGGGAGGGGGGAGGGAGGGAGGGCGGGGGGGGACCGAGGGGGAGGGGAGGGCGGGGAGGGGGCGGTGGGAGAACAAACTGGTTTTTCAGCTTCCTCCTGTGCGTCATGGGAACGGGGGTGGGGGGGGGAGGGATTGTACTTGACCAGCTTCTTGACGCCGACACAGGGGGTCGGCGGATTATAGTATGGTTACTGGGTTGCTAACTTACAATAGCCTCACGAACGATTTGAAAATAAAACGGTGGCGCGTGAAGGGAGTGTGGGCGTCCGAAAACTAAGCGCTGCAGATCTAACGCCCGCACATGCTGTATCATCAAGTGCTTTATCTCTTCCAGGTCCTCATTCCAAGCGAAAGAAAAGCCTCATTCCAAGCGAAAGAAAAGGCCCTCCCTGCAAGGTATCAGACGAAAAAATCTGACGCCGGATGCTGTGACTGTGTTCGCCCCGAAACCCGAAACTGCAATCACCCCCCAAACCCGAAGCCAAGCAAACGCTGAACCTTCTGCGCCGAGATGTGGATCAGCGCTGAGGCATGCTGCCCGGCTGGACGAGCTTAGCTTCATGAGTAGGGTGAAGCGTTGAAGGTTTAGGGTTTAGGCCTTAGGCCTTATAGGGTAGAACCACCCCCCCCCCCACCAACCCTACGAAAAGATAGGATATCTAGGATTGAATGGTTTTTTTCATGATCGGAAGCGGCGCTTCTTCAACAGAAGTCACGGCTTCACTTCTGCTTGAGACTTCGGCTTTTTTCGATTCCGAGACTCTCCCGGGCTAAGCGGGAGTTTCATGACCTCTTAGTCTGGCCCCTTACCTCCTTGAACTAGGGGCGCCTGGGCGATACGGGGTCACCTTTTAAGCTAAAGGGACCATGCAACGACCCTTAGAGAGGTGACTGGCTTGAAGGGCATAGCGTTCAGGATTTAGGGGTTCAGGGGTTTAGGGTTTAGGGTTGACCCTATACCTATTCCCTTAAGTAAACCCTGAGCCATCTTCCAGGTGCTCATCTACCAGTTCCTCAAGAACCCCGCCAAGATGATAGATCCCTATCCCAAAGGGTCCTAAGTACCTACATAGTAGAAAGGAGGGTTTCTATAATATGAATTACCATTATGGTTTGGGCAAGTGACCCCCATATGGGTACGTAGGATTCTTTGGGTATATTACCCTTGCAAGGAAGAATATGTCTTCTTTGGGGTGGGGTTCTTTTAAAGCAAATAGTAGTCATGGTAGTGCCTTGACCCTCAACAGCAGTTCCTGACTGGAAGAATCGGTTCACATGACTGGTACGGTTAAGGCCGAACATCTCAGTCCTTAATGCCCTATGCGTCTACTAAGGTTTCCGGAACCCTGAGCACTAAACGGGCTTAAGTGCAGGAACCTCCACACGTAATGTCGACACTGGACTGTACGCGACCTACCTAGGGAGCTCAGAAGCTGTGGCAGTGCTCCTGCATAGTCTTACTAAATTACCCTGGTTTCGGGTTCTGGAATAAACGTTTAGGGTTATTTGGGGGGGGGGGGCATTACAGGCTTCGGTTCAATCCTCGCATCCTCGTGCGCCCGACCTTGCTGAACCTGAAGAACCCTCAAGCCTAAACCCTAAACCCTAAACCCTAAACCCTAAACCCTAAACCCTAAACCCTAAACCCTAAACCCTAAACCCTAAGGTTCATTGCTCAACCATCCGAAGCCGTCAGCGAGGTCTGAACGCATCCGGCTGCTGCGACTATTATTTCGATGACGACAAGAACTTTCTCCCGGTGGCACGGCTGGGTCTTGTTGCAGCGCTGGGTATTTCTTAGGTCCGAAGGACCTTCGAGCGCCCGAAACTTAAGTCCCTATACATGTTCAACCCTTAGCCCCCTATGAGCCCTCATGCAGGAGAATAAAGAGCAACTACCAAGATTTCCCTCGAGTACTTCATAGAACTAGAAGCCCTAGACCGAACCCCGAAGCACTAAGCCCCAAAGCCCTAATTGCTTATTCTAGGCCCCTTATCCCCAAACCCGTAAACTCCAAACCCTAAACCCTCAACCCTGCAAATAGGGTTCATGTTCAGGTTCAAAGGCTCTATCCCTAAAGCTTAAGCCCTAAACCGCAGGGTTTAGGGTTTAGGGTTTAGGGTTTAGGGTTTAGGGTTTAGGGTTTAGGGTTTAGGGTTTAGGGCCTAGGGCCTAGGGTGTTGTGGGGTTAGGACTTTGGGTCGACTTTTCCGGGTTTTCTGGGCAGGTAGCAGAAAGAAGTAGGCTTAATATCGCTAAGAACCACCCCCAAAAAGTCTTCTTCCTTACTAGGCCAACATAAAGATTCTTATCTTTTGTATGTGCTTAAGAGCCACTTAAAAGATGCAAAAAGGTTCTTCCTTATTAGGGCAATATGTGTTGTTCCTTTATTTTCGGGCCGAACTAAGCCAAGCAGTTGCAGGTTCAGCTATTGGTGAAGTAAAGCTATTGGTAAAGAGGAGACCTGAACCCTAAACCAGAAACCCAAACCCTCAGGTTAAGGATGTATACATCCCGACAGAAAGGAATCTTCACTGGAAGTTCAGGGTGAAGTTCCACCCCCTTGGCAGTTGGAGAAGAGCTGCTGGAATAAACCCAGATCCCTAAACCCTCCTAAGCCCTAAACCCTAAACCCTAAACCCTAAACCCTAAACCCTAAACCCTAAACCCTAAACCCTAAACCCTAAACCCTAAACCCTAAAAGCAAAAAAACCCTAAACCCTAAACCCTAAACCGTCCTAAGCCCTAAGCCCGAAAATACAATGGAGCCCGAGGCTCCATTGAAGTGAACCCCCTAGCAACCAGCTCTTTGCAGTTTCGGAGCTGGGGTACAACCCAAACACCACCCCAAGTGCCTAAACCCTAAACCCTAAACCCTAAACCCTAAACCCTAAACCCTAAACCCTAAACCCTAAACCCTAAACCCTAAACCCTAAACCCACCTTCCAAGCATTGGCGCTAGCATCGTTGCACTGCATGATTCAAGGCCGAAAGCTTGGAAAGCCTGCCTCCCAAACCCGAACTTAAAACGCGAAAAACTTGGGATGTTCCCCCTTATACTAACTAGGATGATACTTAGGTGGTACTATAATCCCTATTAAGGACTGTTAGTATAAAGGGGGAACATCCCAAGCGAAGCCCTTCAAAGCCCTCTCATGCAAGCCCGAACTTGCGCCCGGCCGAGGCTAACCTGATGCAGCAGGGAATGCCCAACTGCTCCGAGATCGTCCCGCACACGCCCGCCTGCTTCCAGGCCTTCGCCGGTCTGGGCGGTACCCTGCAAGACCCGAAACCCATCCAAAGGAGGCCCCCCAGTCTCCAAAACCGCTGTGAAATCCGGGCGCACACACCAAAAAGCCCTAGCATTAGGCATCGCAACGGATACAAAGTGTGTCCAACATGAACAATTAAGATGGGGGGGGGAAGGGGAGGGTAGAGGGTTTCAGGTTTAGTGTGCAGGGGGTAGGGGTATTGGGGGGGGGGGGGGCCTGTGAAGTTACGCAGTTTGGTCCGCCTTCTAAAGTGCATCGCGCAGCCGTGCCGCAGGGGGACCGCGACCATGACGACCATGGCTATGACGACGGCCATGGAGGACCCCGAAGCCCTAAACGCTCGACCAGTCTATGTGCACAATGTATAAATGCAGACTTTAGGCATACGCACGTTGTATCAATGTGTATACATACATACATTCTATGTCTATCTATTCTTGTTGTTGAGCTTTTACAAAGTTAGTACCCATGCACGCTTGTCAATTCGTGTATGTATGTATGTATGTATGTATGTATGTATGTACGCACGTATGTATGTATGTATTTATGTATGTGTGTATGTACGTATGTATATAGTATACATATATATATATATATGTATGTATATATAGTATGCATGTATGTATGTATGCATGCATGTATGGATGTATGCATGCATGCATGTATGCATGCATGTATGTAGTGAGTCCCTGTGTGTGTGTGTCTGTATACTTTAGTAGCTCCGTATGTACATAGACGTATTACATAGGTCCCGCATGTCCCATGCTTCGCTGTTGGCTCCCATCAGGAGGCCTCTTTGCACCTTTACCAATGAGGGTCTTGGAATGTTGCAGATCTCCTCTCCTTGGGCCTAAGTTCCCTGAGGCAAAGCTCTAAACCCTACAGGTTCTGCAGGCTTTAGGGTGTAGGCTTTAGGGTTTAGGGGCTCCGGAAAATCCCAAGCCCGAAGCCCTAACCCCTCTTTGAGAAGAGAGGAAGATTAGTTCTGAGTCCTTACACTTACAAGGCCCATCTTGGGCCTGACACAGGCGGCTCCAACTACAGCAACGGCTCTGGCGATGGAGGACCTCCGTTGCTAGGGTCTCTGCCCTAATCCCTAAACCCTGAAAGTCAGCATTCATACCTGTTAGGGCTTTGCGCTCCGAATCCTCAAAGCCCTCCAAACACCCCTAAACCTGTAACTCCTAATAAGCCCTAGACCCCCAACCTGCCCCGAAACCGTAGAGGGCTCAGGGAGTCTTGGCTTGAAAGTTTGGGGCTTGGGGAGTTTAGGCTTGAGGGTTTGGGGAGTTTCGGGTTCAGGATTAGGGTTTAGGGCCTAGGGGGTTGTTGAGGGTTTGGGGGCAAGGGAGCTCGGGAGGTCTTACCACGAAGAGCAACCCTTGATTCCCTCCCAAACGCACATGTTTCTAAGATGGTTTCGGGATGTTTGAAGGCGTCTTTTTTAAAATTGTACACATCTGGCTGTTGCTGATCGAAAGAGGCTTATATGAAGAGTAGCTACCCAACCCCCAAGAAACTGTTTGTAGAAACCGACTTGGTTTTTACGGAACTTCGAGATCTGTTCACCCGCCCGAGTTTTTCTCGATAGCGGTACCTTCGTTGCAAGCTTTTGGCAGCAGGGAGTAAGCGTCGTGTGAGTCAAGGGGCCCTGCATTGAGCCGTGGTGGGAGTATTGGTGCGAGGGTGGGCCTGATTATAGGGTCCTTAAGGCAGAGGGGTTCAAAGGAACGTACCAGGGGAACCTTAGGGAAGCTTAGGGAGCCTTAGGGAGAGTAGTGGGGGAGTATTAGGACCAATTATCTTCGAACCTTGGGTTACATACCCCTCCCCCCCCGTCCCTTTAAGAACCCGATGACCTGAACCCTAAACCCTATAAACCCTAAACCCGAAAGCCTAAACCCTAAACCCTAAACCCTAAAAAGCATCAGCGTCTTTCGGCCCGCAGTTGGAGGCAACGGCTCTCAGCACCAGGCGCGAGGATGAAATCTCCCAGTTGCTTTTGTGACCTTCATCCTAGGTAGGATAAGGGGGACCCTTAAAAAGGGAACCCTCTTCTGGATCTCTTAAACAGGGACCTTATTCAGAGGGTCTATATCCCCAAGGGTCCCTACTCCTATCCCCACTTCAACCCGAACCCTGCATTCTTTCGTTTGTAAGCTACCTGAGCATCCCAGTGGGGATTTCTGGCAAGAACCTACAAAAAAGGGTGGGCTTGCGGCTTGGGGAATCTTATATAAGGAACAGATTCCCCTTAACAGCCTCACCCCTGCATCTGACTTGGACTGTGATTCCCTCCAGTACCCGGTGCTTGAGTGGGAGTGGCGCGGTGGATGAATTTTGGGGCGCGGTGGAGGCGTTTAGGTACCTTTTCGGAGGTGTGGCAGAAAGGAAGAATCAATATACAGTGAAAAATAAATATGTGTGCGTGTATATAGAGAGGGGGCATGTGTACATAGACATGTATATAAGTAGTTAACGTTAACAGTTAAAAGCGTATTACTGCAATCGACGGGCCTATTTGAATAGCTTCTATGATAAAAGCACCAGTTACACAAGCCAAAAGAGGTACCCTTTCTGTGTGAGGTCGCTGTGCAGCCAGATTTGGAGCAGATTTCGCGTTTGCAGGGAACTTGGGGTAATTTAAGGGTTTGGGGGTGCAGGGTTGAGGAGACATGAAGCAACAAACAAAGGATGAAGAGTTGCGTTCCGGGGGCTGGCGTTCAGGGCATTTCTGAAAAGCGAAGATCTCTGGATGCGAGATCCGTTGTTCCCCTAAACCCAAAACCCTAAACCCTAATCCCTGGCTGCCAGGTGTGCCAGTGGGACATGCTGTACATGTGCAACTGGGCGTGACGGCAACCTGAACCCACCCCAATCTATACTGCTTCTCGGAAATGCCCTGTAAACTCCTTGAATCAACCCTGAAACCCGAACGCCCTTGTCGAGTCTCGCTGGGTTGAGTTCAGCACGGATTTTGAGGGTTTAGGGCTTGGGGTTTAGGGACAAAGCGTGCTGAAAAAAGAAGGATGTGCGTGATGAATTCCCCCAAGCCCAAGAGCCTGGACCCGTACCCTTAAACCACGACCTCAACCCGAAACGGGTGTAGGGTTTAGGGTTTAGGGTTTAGGGTTTAGGGTTTAGGGTTTAGGATGGGTGTCTGAGCGGCAAAGGCAACAGCACCATTGAGAATGCCAGCATGGCGGCGAGCATGATGCTTGGTAGCCCAGTGGTACCCTTTACCCCTTTTTGTTGGGTTCTTTTTTCCCTTATAAAGTAACCAGCCAAGAGAAGGGTACCCTCTTTTTTTAGTTGTGGGCTCCCCTATAAAGTGGCCAACCAAAAAAGGGTTTAGGGTTTAGGGTTTAGGGTATTATAATATGGTTGCTGGGCTGCTAAGGATGGGTAACAACACCAACCTGAGCACCTCTGAGATGTACGCTGCCTGCATGGCCCGGGAGCTCAGCTACCCCTGGCTCAGGGCTTGCGGTTTATAGGGGTATTCAGTAGGATGGCACACTGAATTTGCAAGAAGGATGGGCCATCTAGTTCAGGGTATATCTTGGGGTGTTCCCCCTTATACTATCAGTCCTTCGATTGGGATTATGAAGGGGGGGGGGGGGTACTATTAAAGACTCTTAGTATACTGGGAACATCCCAATTCATAGTGTTTCGGGGCCACTGCCTCGGGCTGAAGGGTTTAGGGTTTAGGGTTTAGGGTTTAGGGCTACTGGGCTGTGTTGGGCCTTGACCTTCAGCGGGGTTTCGGTTTTATTGGACTTGCGCTTTAGGGTTTTGGGCCTTTTCAAGCCCTGTTGGCCTTGAGCTTTAGGATTTTGCGGGCTGCTAGGGCTTGGGGGCTATTGGGTCTAGAGGCTACTGGGCCTTGGGCTGTAGGGCTTAGGGCCTATTGAGCCTTAAATTGGGCTGTATATGGTTTGAAAGGAAGGCTGGCTGAAGATGTGAAGTAGTGGGACCCAATGCTCAACCCTAAGCCCGAAACCTTATATACAGGGGAGGAGGGTTGGGAGGGGGGGGGGTCTTTAAGCAAATAGTATAGTTGCGGCACCCTTATAGTAAGGACCCCAAATCGGACTCTAGTTGAGAGAGCCCCGCACTTAGCTTGACTTACCCAAATGATTACAAAAGGGTTTGTTTTATAGGGTTTGAGGTTTAGGGTTTCAGGGTTTCAGGGTTTCGGGGCTTTGGGGTCTTAAGGTTGTGGGGGTTTTAGCTTTTAGCTTTTCGCGGCTGCATGGGAGCTACGGGTTTTAGGGTTTAGGGTGTAGAGCGGTTTGGGCAGGTCCCACGGGGCGGGGGAGGGGGGCGTACAGAATGCGTGAACATCATGGGGTGGCGTTGCAGGGTTTTGTCACTCTTCTAGTGATGTTTTTTTAGGGTTTAGGGTTTAGGGTTTAGGGTTTAGGGTTTAGGGTTTAGGGTTTAGGGTTTAGGGTGTAGGGCTGAGGGTTTAGGGTACCTTTGTTAATCCTCGAGGGACCAACCGGAGCTTAAGACCCGAAGCCCCCAAATGTCAAAGCCCCGAAGTACTAGAACATCAATGCCTGTGGTTGGACTTAGGGTTTAGGGTTTAGTGAAGGGCTACAGTGCCCTTAACACTTTGAGGCCCTGTACCTCCTCAACTCTCCCGAGAAAGCCTTCAACCCCGAGAACCCTAACCCTAAACCCTGAACCCTAAACCCTAAACCCAAAACCACCAAAGTCTCAAAACCCTGCACGCCTTGCACGCCTGCAAAGGTGGCCTCCACGGTAGGAGGATGACGCCTGTCAGCAGCCATTCCTTGCAACTTCTGTTGCTTTGGCTTTGGTTCAGGGTTCAGGCTTTAGGGTTTAAGGTTTAGGGTTTTCGGGTTTTAGGGTTTTAGGGTTTTCGGGTTATAGGGTTTTAGGGTTTTAGGGTTTTAGGGTTTAGGGTGCCGCCGGCACAGTGAAGGAGCTTGGTAAGCATGGCCCAGTCGCCAGCATCAACATTCCTTAGGGTTTAGGGTTTAGGGTTTAGGGTTTAGGGTTTAGGGTTTAGGGTTTAGGGTTTAGGGTAATCGTACTACTGTTGCTGCCATCATTGTGTTTGCTTGCTGTGGTTCGTTCTTTTTTAAGTTGTTGTGTTTGTTTGTTGTACAAGCATTTCAGACTTACGTGTTGCAGGTTTTGTTTTCCTACCTTCTTCCCAACAGTTCGTACCCGATCCCGATCCGAAACCAAAAACCCTAAACTCTAAACCGTAACCCTAAACTCTAAACCCTAAACCCTAAACCCTAAACCCTAAACTCTAAACCTCAACCCTAAACTCTAAACCCTAAACCGGAAAAAATAGGGGTACATGTGCTGTGAAGCCCAGGGGTGCCCTTCTGTGTTTCTTTTAGTTTCAGGCCTGTCTTCTCTGGGCTGCTGTCAAGACGCCATGACGATTCTCCCAGCAGCCTGGCACCACGCATATCCTTGGCCTAGGGTTTAGGGTTTAGGGTTGAGGGTTTAGGGTTTAGGGTTTAGGGTTTAGGGTTTAGGGTTTAGGGTTTAGGGTTTTAGGACCACAGGAGCCCTGAAGCAAAGGGTTTAGGGTTTAGGGTTTACGGTTTAGGGCGTCGGGTTTCGGGTTTAGGGTTTAGGGTTTAGGGTTTTGGTTGCAAGGTTTCGGTATGGTGAGGTCTCATTCCCATTGCTGCATTGTCTACTGTCCTCAGTACCGTACCCTAAGCCTTAGACCCTAAACCTCAAACCCTAAAACCCGAATCCTTTACCTTCTTATCGTTTTGGCTCAAGCTCCTAGGCCGAGCAAGCCAGAGGCAGTTCCTGAATTGCCTGTTATACCATCGACACGGCCCCGGCAGGTTCGTTCTCCCTCTGAAACATTGAGAGTGGTTGAGGTTTAGGGAACTTCCCAACGAGTTGACCTGGAAGTGCTCAGGGTGCGTCATTTCCATCCTACTTCCGGGAGGTACGGGGGTGGGGAATTGGCCGAGGCACCCGCGCCTGGCCTAACAAAATGGCGACACCTTTATACTACTATTAAGCCGAAGCTTAAGGTGGAACCACCCCCCCAACCCCAACCCTGCCCCCTCCCTCGCCGCCCCAACCCCCTCCGCCCCCAAACCACGCCAGAAAGAAACAACAGGAAGTATGTCAGTTGTGGTGCCCTGCTGGACCGCACCAAGCAGAACTTGACCGTGAACCATTCAGTTGCAACTGCCGTGAGACGGCTCCGCCACCGCAGTGCAGAGCTCGGCCGCGAAGAAGTTGACCAAAAACCGTAAGGATACCTCCAAAGCGAGAATGCTTGGCATCGAAGAAGTTGACCGCGAACTATGGGGATACCACCGCGGTGGAAGACCGCGATCACCGCCACCGTGAAAAACAAACAAACAACAACATCGCCACGAAGAAGTTGGCCGCGAAGCGTGAACACCGCCGCGATGGAAACAATAAAAGCACCGCCACGCTCCGGCACTGTCGCCCTAGCGCGACAAGAGGGGGGGAGGGCGCTCGCTCATCGACTTAAACCCTGTAAACCCTAAAAACCCTATAAACCCTATATACCCTATAAACCCTATAAACCCCATAAACCCTATAAACCCTAACCCCTAAACCCTAAACCCAAACCAGTGTCAGCCAGGCGGGTGGCAAAAAAAAAAAAAAAAAAACAACCCAAACCAGGGGTTGATCAACCCTTCTCCCGGCACCAGCCCCCTGGGAACTGCCCGCGCTGGCCCCTGGAGGGGCGCTGGGGGCCTAGGCTTCAGGGTTCAGGGTTCAGGGTTTAGGGTTTAGGGCTTAGGGTTAGGGCAACCCCCTGATACTTCAAGGTATGTTCATAAATTGCGGGGCTGCGGCACCCTAAAAAGGCTTCATGACCCTAAACCCCAAACCCCAAACCCCAAACCCCAAACCCCAAACCCCAAACCCCAAACCCTAAACCCTAAACTTCCTAAACCCTAGGCCGAGCTGGCCTCCATGGACCTCAGCTTTTGCGACAGCCTTTCCGGGTTGCCCCCGCCTCCGTGCCCAGACGCTGCTGGGTCGCCAAGCGAAGGTTTAGGGTTTAGGGTTTAGGGTTTAGGGTTTAGGGTTTAGGGTTTAGGGTTTAGGGTTTAGGGTTTAGGGTTTAGGGTTTAGGGTTTAGGGTTTAGGGTTTAACCCTAAACCCTAAGTGCTTTTGGCTGATGGGCATGCTTGACCCTTCGTTCACCATTTTTGCGGTTCTTGCTCCGGGCCCTGCCGCCTAAGCCCCGAACCTTTCAAAAGGGCTTCATTTTTGATTTCTAAGTTACTGGGGAACCTAGTTTAGGGGTCATCGTGGGCATAGGCTCTGTAGATGTCTCTAGGACTTGTAGATGTTCATAGGGTGTGGTTGTGTGTGAGGGCTGTGGGTTCATAGGTGGGTGCTTTGCAGGGTTGAGGGCTGCAGGATTGAGAGGGGTCAAAGGTTGGTAAAGGAGAACGAGTTTTAGCATCAGCTAACCTGTTGAGTCCTGAAGCCGCAAAGAAACCGCCCGAAACCCTAAAGCCTAAACCCCTCGAACCTCCGAAAGCAAAACACGCGTCGAAGATCTCGTGCATCCTATAGAGCCCTAAATGGGGGCTTTCCGAAATTCGGGGTACCTTATTGGGTTCCTTATTATAAGGGAATCCTACTATGTGGGGTTTAGATTAGGGGTCTCATTTTCGTAAACCCCCAAATGGTCTCCACTGTCAGAGGATTTCGAGATGTCACCTCTCACCGATGAGAGCGGAGTTTGAGGAGCGATCCCCTCAAAAGGCCCAGCCTAGACCGTGACCCAGCATGACACAGAGCCTTAATCCCTCGAAACCCTATCAAGCCTATCAACCCTGCCAAGCCGCTTTTCTGAAATCCTATTAAGCCCGACAAGCCCTACACACCCCCAAAACCTATGGGGACCCTACACCGCCCCAGAGGGTTCAGGTTTGCAGGGCGTTTAGACTGCAACCCTAAACCCTAAACCCTAAACCCTAAATCCCAGACCCTAAACCCTAAACCCTAAACCCGAAATCCCAGACCCTAAGCTCTGAGGATGAGGATGATGGTATCTCGGCAAATGTAAGGCGGTTCCCCTGAGAAGCTCTCAGTCTGTGCCCATCGCATTTTTGGCAGGGTTCGGGCTGAGAGTTTACAGGGTTTCATCCGTTTCTGGTTAGGGTTTATGGTGGTTGGGCAGTTTACGGTTCAGGGTTTGGGACAGCGTGCACTCTGGATCTTCAGGTTTCGGTGCTCCGGGTACATCTTAAGAACCCAGAACCCCACTTTTCTTGTGGCTTTCCTTAGGGTCTAGACCCTAAAGCCACACGTGCAGTCTTCCTTGACAAGCCCAGTCGGCAACGTCGCAAGACCCCACAAGGTAAGAAACCCCGTAAGACATCCGTAAGACTTGGCCCTTGAGCACTCCACTTGCGGGAAAGCCTTTTGAATTTAGGGTGTCGGGGTTTCAGGGTCTTAGGGTTTAGGGTTTAGAGTACCTGGCCGATGCTTGAACTCAAAACTGGATCCATGCTCTGAGCCCCGCCTTCACAGCATGTGTTCTTTTAAGGCGTAGCTCACGAATCTACGACAGGAGGTAGTAGAATCTGTGGGGTACCCGCGTAGGTGCGGTTGGGGACAGGGGTTCAGGTTTCAAGGTTTTCGGGCTCAGGGTTTTGGGGTTGTCGGGCTGCGGGCTAGGTACCTTGAAGCTGTCGCTCAAAGGGAGGCTCCTCATGCATGGCATGTTCATGGATTTTTTTTGAAGGCACTCAGTCGAGGGCGAACTTGTCCCCCAGATCAAGATGCAGCGGTCCCGTCAGACTCGCGACCTTGACCGAGGTAAAGGTGATGAAGGAAGTGGAGGCTACAACGGATCCTCGGCATCGTTAGCCAAAGCCTGCCACCCTAAACCGGTGTCTCGAGAAGTTTACTCATGTAACTCATGTATGTTGTATTTCTGTCATTGCCCTGAACCCCAAAACTTTCTGGAAAAAGACTCTAAACCCTAAACCCTTCTAAATAAAAACACCTTCTGAAAGGTATCCATAGGGTGAGCGTCGTTGCTGATCCAATTTGCTCCTTTCAGCCTCGGCTTTGGAATTCTGCCCTCAGTATTTTGCTTTTTGTGTTCTAAGCCGACAACCCACTTGGTTTTCGGCTTTGTATGCTGGGTGCAAAAAAGGGTTTGGGGTTTTGGGTTTAGGGTTTTAGGGTTTTCGGGTTATATGGCTTAGGGTTTAGGGTCGTCTTCACAACATATCCCTAAACCCTAAACTTTGGCCCTAACCCTAAACCCTAAACCCTACACCCGGCTTAAGGTTTAGGGTCGCCTTCACAGCAAGATCCTGTTGGCAAGGTTGGGTAAATTGGGTGTCGGGGGATGATTTCGGTGTTGTCGGCCGACCCGGCGCCTCGCAATTGTATAGGGTTTAGGGTTTAGGGTTTAGGGTTTAGGGTTTAGGGTTTAGGGTTTAGGGTTTAGGGTTTAGGGTTTAGGGGTTCTAGGTCGGTGGGGCCTTAGGATCATTTCTTACGCAATCCATACTCGGGGCTCCTAACTCAGAGTAGGCCCTTGTTTCCTGGGGTGATGGTTGCATTCTAAGCGCCTGTGAACCGGACAAGGGTTCCTTTCTCTTCCTAGGCTACTCTTGGGTCTCGTCTCAGAGCCTTCCCTAAACCCTAAATCTTAGGGTCCAAAAGCAACCCTAAACCCGAAAACCCTAAAACCCTAAAACCCTAAACCCTAAACCCTAAACCCTACAGGGTCTTAGGTAGGGATATGTTTCAGCGGGAAGGCTTTGGGCTGGGGTTCCCCTGCCTTGGCTTCAGTCGTTACTCCGCGAACGTGGCGTTCAAGGGTGCCGGTGTAGGGTTGGGTTTTTCGGGTTTAGGGTTCAGGGTTCAGGGTTTGCCCTAAACCCTAGGCCCCAAAGCCTAAACCCTAAGCCCTAAACCCAAACCCTAAATCTTAGGGTTTAGATCTTGCGGCTTCGGATTTCAGGAACCAAGGCGTGACCCTTACCCCATCCCCTCCCTGGGAAACAGTTGAAGATGCAATGTACCCGTCATGGCCTTCACCTCTCCTACTCGGAGCTCTGTGGGTAGAGGGTTCAGGGCTTCTAACCCCAATGATAAACTCTACTTGTAACCTACTTAGAGGACTCAGGGGGTTTAGAAGTACAGTTATAATTATGGTTATAAGTACCCTGAACCTCCAAGTATTCCGCGGCGGAGGCTACAACGGAATGGGTGGAGAGGCCTCCGGGGTGTTTTTTCTTGGGGGAGGCTTCCATGCCTAGGTACTTGTAGATGTGCTTGGGGTGAAGACTCTTTCCTGGCGGCTATTGCTTACCCTAAACCCTACACCCTAAACCCTAAATTTTGGGCTTAGGGCATTTGGGGATCTTCGTGCTTCCGTTCTGGTCAGAGCTGTCGTCGTTGTTGGGCCCTGAAGGGTTCTTGAAGTTGCCGCGGAGTGCTTCTAATCCTACACCCTAATTTAGAGTGGCATCTTTTTTTTTGGGGGCGGGGGGGGGGGGGGGGGGGGGGGGGGGGGGGGGGTGCAGGAGAGAAATTTTGGAGTGCTCTTGGAAGGCGGTTGAGGGGGTCAGGGTTGCTTTTCAAGTGGAACAAAAAGAATAAAACCCTGCATCCCGAAATCCCTGAAGCCCGAAGACCCTCTTGGCCCCTGACAAGCGTAGACGCCAAAAGACTAACCTATGAATAACCTATGAATGAAGCGGGGTGCCCTTTTGGGTTCTTGAGGTCCTAGCTGTAAGACCAATCCGAAAAACTGTGCAGGCTTTAGGGAAACTTCGGAGCGCCCCTGAACTTGGGATGTTCACGGTTTAGGGTTTAGGGTTTAGGGTTTAGGGTTGGGATGATGGTTCCCCCTTATGCTAACAGTCCCTAATGGGGATGAAAGTTCCCCCCTATGCTAACAGTCCTTAATGGGGCTGATAGTTCCCACCGATTATAATCCCTTAGAAGGGAGCTGTTAGGAAAGGGGGAACATCCCAAGGAGTGCCCTTGAACCCGAAAAGAGCGCAAGCAGCCCCAGTCGACTACGACCTCGCCGTACGGATACAAGGCGCGGGAGAAAGTGGAAGTTTTCTTCGGGCAGGGTCCCCTTCCTCAGGGCAGCAATCTCGCACCTCTTGCTCCCTGAATCGTTTAGGGTTTAGGACTTAGGGTTTAGGGTTGTGGGTTTAGGGTTTAGGGTTTAGGGTCCAAATTAGGGTTCTGAAGGGACTGGATCCCATCGACGTTTGAACTTAGCTGAACAATCAACGCCTGTTTAGGATTGAATTTACGAGTCCTGGGTTTAACACACCTTAGAGTGGAGTAGGTATCCTAGAACCTTTTTGGGGTATATATAATCCTACCATAATTGCAAGGTTTACCTTTTTTGGCCCCCACACTATATACTCAGCAACTACTTGGAGGTTCATGGTACTTATAACCGACCCCAAATAGAAGTCTACTTATAACCTACTTAGGGGACTTGGGGGCTTGTAAGTACAGTTATAGCTGGGTTTATAAGTACACCCCCCAAAAAAATCAAAAACAACCCCCAAACCCCAACCCCCAACCCCCAACCCCCAACCCCCAAACCCCAAACCCCAAACCCCAAGCCCCAAACCCCAAACCCCAAACCCCAAACCCCAAACCCCAAACCCCAAACCCCAACCAAACCCCAAACCCCAAACCTGTTCTAAGTACCCCTGAACCTCCAAGTAGGACAAAAGGTTTAGGCTTCGCACATCGAGTCGCGAGGTTGCCTGGAAAGGTTGCCAGGAATTCGGAAGTTCTGGCACGAAGCCATTGCATGTCCACACGAGTGGAACTTTGGGTTTAGGGTTTAGGGTTTAGGGCTTCGGGCTTAGGGCTTAGGGCTTAGGGCTTAAGGCTTAGGGTCAAGCGTTTGGCAATTCACTACTCTGAGAGAGCTCCTTGCAGGGCCCTCAGTCGACAAGATTGGGAGCTCGGATCTGGCTAGTCCCCAAGCCCAGTTGCAACAAAGGGTTTAGGGTTTAGGGTTTAGGGTTTAGGGTTTAGGGTTTAGGGTTTAGGGTTTAGGGTCATGGGTTTAAGGGGTGCTAAGGTTGCTATGACCCCAAACCCCCGCACCCGAAATCCGAAACGAACCTTCCTTGCTTGGCAGCAGGGACTGGATCGAACCATAGGTCCCTGAGCCCTTTACTTGAAGGTTCAGGGCACTTCTTAACCAATTTTATAACGGTACTTATAAACCAAATAGTGGGTTCTAAGTACAGTTATAAAGTGAACCAATTTTTCTGCACTTTCAAAGCAAATACTGGTTTATAAGTACAGTTATAAGTGGTTAATAAGTAGCTCTGAACGTCCAAGTAGCCTAGGCTCCCTTCGGGGTTTACGAATGAGGGTTTTGAGGATGCCAGTTCAGCCTCGACAACTTTAAGGCCCTACAGGACCAACCCTGGAAAATGCCTTTCCCCTCGTCACCCATCCCTTTTCACCAAGCACACACCCTAGACCCTGAACCCTAAACCCTAAACAGCCCGCTTCTTACTTCTTACCGGTCTATTGTGGCAAGATGCTCGTGGGTTTAGTCTTTCGCCGTCAAAAACCCTAACACCCTACATTCACACGCGCCTTAATGCCAGGAGTGCCAAGATGACATGATGCCCTCCTGCAACTGGGCATGATGAACCCGGCTTAGGGTTTTTATAGGGCTTACAGGGCTTATTGGGTTTCAGGGTTTGCAGGGTTTACCTTATAGGGTAACTAACCCCTAAACCCTAGACCCTAAACCCTAAACCCTAAACCCTAAACCCTAAACCCTAAACCCTAAACCCTAAACCCTAAACCCTAAACCCTAAACCCTAACCCTAAACCCGGTTTATAGGGTTTATCGGGCTGAGAGGGTTCAGAATTCACAACGCCCCCAAGCCATGAAGCGAATGACGTCAATGTTGCGCTCACGGGGCACGGGGCATGGGGCATATCGGTTAGGTTTAGGGTTTAGAGGATTTATAGCGTTTAGGGTTTAGGGTCCACCCCCACCCCCCCCCACCCAAAACCCAGAACCCTGGCACTTGCACTAGGTGTGGCGCAAGGCCACCCTAAACCCGAAACTCCCCAACTCAAAAGTCCCTGAGCCCTAGCCCTAAACCCTAAACTCCCTAAACCCTAGACCTAAACCCTAAACTCCCTAAACGCTTCACTCACCCTACACTCTAGATCCTACATCCCTTACCTAACCCTTGCAGGGGCCAAGCCAGGGTCTGTCTAGGCGTGAATGTTTAGGGTTTGGGGTTTAGGGTTTAGGGTTTGGGGTTTGGGATTTAGGGTTTAGGGTTTAGGGTTTGGGGTTTGGGGTTTGGGGTTGGGGGTTTTAGCATTTGGGGGTTTGGGGTTTAGGGTTTAGGCCGCGGTCCCGGCGTGAGGCAGCTTCTAGGGATCAGTTGGGGCTTGGGGCTAGAGGGGTTTCAGGGCTAAAGCTACTGGCTGAAGGGTAATAGGTTCCTGACGTGAGTATGCCCGAATGGCCAGCTCGTAATAACAAACAAGCATTGCCACACGAATTGGAAATATTCAATGCTGGTTATTTGATCAATATCAGGGGCCCTAAGCCCCTATGGCCCCTACAACCCCGACAAGCCCCTATGCAAAAAACAAGCATTTCACACCCCTTATCACCCCCAAAAAAACAACCCTATAAAACCCCTATCAACCCAGTAGAGTTGTCTTGCTCCAGAAATTCCCACTAAAGTCTCGTGGCTTAACCCTAAACCCCAAACCCTAAACCCTTAACCCTAAACCCTTAACCCTAAACCCTAAACCCTGAACCCTTAAAGGTCAAGAGCAAGCTGACAACATCACTGGCGTTCTGGCCATGATGGGCATGACCAACGACACCCTCCACGCGTCCTTCCCCGATCCGAGTGCTTACCTCACCTGCTTGGTCGCGGACTTAACTGCGGTCTGAGGCACCCTGCTCGGGGGTTTAGGATTTAGGGTTCAGGGTTTGAGGGTTTAAGGAATAGTACACCCTGAGGCTGTGTGTATTTTAAGTTTTGGACTTTCGCAGCGCCAGTAGTCGTCGTCATCATCGTCGTCATCAGTATCGTCATCGTCGTCATTGTCGTCGTTGTCGTCGTCGTCGTCATCGCCGTCATCAGCCGTACGGTCTCTGCCTCGATTGAAAAGAGTTTGCAACAGGAGTTCTCTCACAACCATGTTTGGGAAATTCTCTCGGAATACTTTCCGGTATTTACACCCCTTTTGTCTTAAACATGGGACATCAGGCTCTAAACAACCGAACTTAATAATGCAAATCGTTCATGAAAACACTTTTTGGGCAAAACAACGCCCGACACACTTTCCGGTATTAACCCCCTGTTTATAGATGTGACCTGAACATTAGATTGGTAGACCGGCTTATTGTGGATGACATCACATGCGAAACCATAAGGCAAATGAAGTGTTTTGCGGCCCGGGGCAGGGGGGGGGGGGGGGGGGGGGGGGGGGGGGGAGGGGAAAGAGAAGAAAAAAACACCCTAAACCGTATCAACCCTACACCCTAAACCCTAAACCCTATAAACCCTATAAACCCTAAACCCCAAGCATCCCGAAACCCTAATCCTCCTGGCCGTTGCCTCATTCTGCCCCTCCCCCTTCCCCTCTTGAGATCCTGAACGGCGCGAACGGCACCGGATACATTAATGAAACACGACCCTTGTAGTCACTCAGGATTTAGGGTTTAGGGTTCAGGGTTCAGGGTTCAGGGTTTAGGGTTTAGGGTGTAAGTTCCCATAATCACACTGCGCGTTTTGCGGAGGATTCCAGTGCCTACATCGATGTGAAAAGTGGCATTCAAGAATACCTATTTCCCTAAACCCTGAACCCTAAACCCTAAACCCTAAACCCGGGGGTCTTCTAGAATAGTTGCATCGTCCTTCTAGATTGCGATTATTACAATTCGGGGATTTCCCTAAAGTCATGGCTTCAGGGTTTTCCGGGTTGGGGTTTAGGGTTTAGCGTTTAGGGTTTAGAGTTTAGGGTTTAGGGTTTAGGACTGGGGGTTTAGGAGTTTTAGGGCTTAAGGTCTTTTAGGGTGCTTTGGGCTTTGAGGTTTCAGAGTTTTATTGCTAGGGCTGAGTGCTCGGAGTTTCGGGCGTAGGGTTCCTTTTCCCTATCACAAGGAAGCCACGCCCACGCTGCAGGACGAAGGTCCCCTTTAAAGGGTGACTCAGCATCTCCAGGTCTAGAGAGTATGTGCATGCGGTTTAGGGTGGTTTAGGGTTTAGGGTTTAGGGAAAAAAACGGGTTTAGGGTTTAGGGTTTAGGGTTTGCTACGGCTCAAGTTTTGTGCTCGAGCCTGTTCATAAGTGGTTGCTCTTGTAGAAGGGTTCATGGCTGAGCCATCTCCTACTCTGTCTGACGTTGAGGGCAGTCCTTCAAGGAAGCGAGATAGACCTGATGAAGAGTTAGACCAGATGCTTGAAGAAGCTGCCGCTAATGAAAAAGCTCCAGCATGGGCCATTCAGATGCAGTCAGTGGTTACAGAGCAGGTCTCCATTCTGGGTCAGAGTTTGCACGGGCTGTCAAACAGGATTGACAAGCTTGAGGCGACCAGGTCTTCCGAATCTGATAGGCTTTCATCCTTGGAGAAACAGCTGGAGTCGATGAGCACAGTTGTTCAGAAGCTTCAAGGGGGAAGTGGTGCTTCGGGATCTTTGGCCGGTGGGGCTGCAGTGCCGCCCCCCTCTAACCTGAATGACCCCTGGTCAGCCTACATACGGAATCAGCAGGACGCAGCCAAAGGGGGTTGATTCAGGTATGGGTGGTGATGGTGGCCTGGCTGGCCCTCTTGGTTTTGCTGCAGCAGCCCCGGCGAAGGCTCCAACTGGGTTTACTTCTTTGCCTTCCTCTCCCGCCAGCAGCCCGATTCGTAGAGAAGCATTGCGTGAAACAGAGTACTCGCATGTTGTGCTGGGTGGATGGGCCCAAGACACGCGCAGAGCAACCATAGAGCAGGATGCTTTGAAGGTGATCGGCCTCTTTCCCAAGGGTCTTTCGTATGACAGGTATGTTATATTTGGTCAAAGGGCTTCCACGTGTCACATATTCTTGCACCCTCTGGACTCTGCAGATGCTGAAAGAAATCGCTTCTACCTTGTGCAAAATGCGGCGGGAAGGCGAGTGCAAGCCACAGGTGGTGACCTCATATGGGTGTCTCCAAGCCGGAGTCCCGAAAGGAGAGCCCGTAACAAAATCACAAGGGCTTTCTTGGAGAAGCTCGAGCAGCTTGTGATCAAAGCCGGCACCTCCTGTGAGAAAGTGGGACTGGAGGCTGACTGGACCAAGCAGGTCATGTGGATCGCTGATCAGCGTGTTTGCGCCCCAAAACCGGAGGATTTGTGTGCCAACCCCTATGAGCAGGTAAAGGCCAGTCACTTCATCGACAGTGGTGGATTGAAGCATACTCACTGGTTTTGTGTGAGCAGACTCTCCACAATCTTAAAGCTGCAGCTGGAAGTGGTGGCCAATACTCTCGAGCAGAGCTGAAATCGCAGCAAACCCGATGTACAGACATTCGCCCAGTTTGGGTTCTCCACCTGGAATGTGCAAGGGAACTCTTTGTCAAGTCTTGGGGAGTGGGTTTCAGATACATTGCACGATATAGAATTTGCAGCATTCCAAGAAGTTTCCGGCCTTCATCTCTTGAGGAGCATTCAGCAAGGCCACTTGCAGAACTTTGACAACAGTGACATTGAGGGTTTGCAGGAGTATATTGCTTTGGGTTCCCATCGTGTTGAAAGTCATCTAGGTCAAGTGATCCTTCTGGACCGACATTCCGTTGATTATATACAGAACTGTTGGGCTGGCAGGAGATGCATCGGAGTGACTTTCAAACCAGTGGGTCTACAGCGTATGCTTACCATTGCCTCGGTGCACTTACCCCACTCGGGTTTTTCTGAAGATGATTTCGAATTCGCTGTGCAAGAAGTAATCTCGTATATATGTGAGACTAAGTATTCATGTGTGATTGTACTTGGGGATTTCAATACAGAGAGTGGCGAGGCCCGATGGCAGCACTTGGGCCAACGGATGACGTCAGTTGGGATGAAACTATTCTCATCTGGCTTGCAGACGTGGTTCAGCAACAGGTCGAGATATGGGAAGGAGTTGGATTACATGTTTCTCAACCCTCATGCCCTGAAGTTGCTGCACCCTCAAACTCAAGCTACTGACGTTGTTATTGCTTCTGGTGCTAGGATGGAATTGAAGTCAGACCACGAATTGGTGCAATGCGTCCTCTCCCTCCGAAACTCCCCTCCTTCCCAATTGAGGAAGGAGGGGGGAGCGACCCGACGGACCAGGAAACCTGCGCGCAAACGGTGTGCACGATGGTTGGTGAAGCCTCAGGAGGCTGAGCACGCTCTGGAAGCAGTCAGCCTGGATGCTTTCTCGGCCAGTAATGCCCAGGGTCAGTGGGAGACTCTTCAACAAGTTTGCAGAATCTCATCGGCCCGCGCCCCCAGCTTCAAGTACAGAGACTCCCAATTCCTCAAGCACTTGTGTAAAAGTAGACAGCGTGAGCGTGACCCCGAAACCCGTGGCAAGTTGACAAAGAGCATTATTGCAGTCAGAAAGGCTGAGAAGTTGGAGTGGTGGGCAAAGTTGCAGGAGCAGGTGAAAGTTGGGGATCCTTATGCCATCAGATATGTAAAGGCCAAGAGGAGCTCGCAGGCTTGTTTGAACTCGTTCCTGGCAGCATGTGGTGGCAAGGAAGGGGCTGCCAATGCTCTGTCCGACAGATTCTCCAAGACTTTCTGTGACAACGCAAGTTCAGAGGAGAGGGGTCTCTGCCAGTCTCTGCTCCAAGAGCTGCGGACTCGCGTGGACTCGGCTGACCTTCAGGACTTCTCCACGAATGAAGTTGTGCTTGTGTGCAACAAGCTTAAGTCCAACAAGTGTAGTGGCCTCTCTGGTTTCTCGACTGATTTCGTTAGATGGGCAAGCACATCTGACAAAGGGAGACAGCTTTTGACCTGCCATCTGAACCGCCTCCTTGCCGGTGATGAGGTGCCTGTTGACTATATGAACAGCTATCTTGTACTTATTCCAAAGCAATTGGTTGTTGGCAGTAGCGATCAGTTCAGACCCATATCTTTGCTGGAAACGGTACAGAAGGTATATGCAGCAGCTTTGAGTGCGCGTTTGAAGGGGCGATTTCCGGTGCCTCGACACCAGCTGGGAGGCGTGCCTGGTGGCCAGGTGTTCGAGTGCCTGCTCATGACTTCGTCTGCTCTGCAACGCGAAGTAGCGTCCAACATGCCAGGAGTGTGGGTCAGTCTGGATATTTCGGGTGCCTATGACAATCTTTTGCTCAGTACCGTCCTGGAATATTTGAGCAGACAATCCCTTAAACATGGTGGTGCTCTTGAGTCCGCTAGGCTGGCCGAGCTCTTGTTGGGACCCGTTCATTCCTGTAGCTTCCAAAGCTTCTCCTTTCAGGTCCAGCAGCACAGAGGAGTCCAACAGGGTGGGACGCATTCACCTTTCGTATTCTCATATGTCTTAGGGGACATTTTGGATCGCATCTTTGCTGAATGGGCTGCTGATGGTCATGTTCCTTTTCATCCTCTGTGGGGATGGGCCTATGTTGATGACATCTTATTGGGGTTTCCCTCGTGGCAGCATGCAATAGACCTCATGCCCCGCTTTGCCGAATCACTCAGAATGATAGGATTGGAAGTCAACCCTGCCAAGACTGTAGTCATGTCGACGCAAGCCATGCTGGACCTGGGCGTGCATGCTGTGCCGAGTGAACATGTTCTCAGAGGTTTTGCATGGGCAACTAAAATGAAATACCTCAAAAAAGTTCTGCAACATCCTCTGGAGGAAGATGTCAGTGCTCAACTCGTGTCCTCGATCCGACGGACGATGCAGCAGACGGGGGAAGAACTTGCAGGCATCTCTAGGCTCTTTTCTTGGACTAGTGTAAGGTCCGCTCTGAACTTCCACATGCAACATGTGTTCTCTAGGTTTGCATGGGTGACTCCTGCGATTGAGCCTCTGGCCAAGCACATAAATGCCATCCAAGTCATGCAAGTGTCTCATCTGGTGGGCCTCCTGAAGTTGTACATCCCGAATAGCCTCAAACAGCAAGATGCAGTCGTCTTGAATCGGGTCCGCCGACGTGCTGTCTTGCAACTCATGTGGATGAACCAAGTTGGTTGGGCACAGAAGATGGTCTTGCGTAAGTGGGCTTTTTTGGGCCACCTCCTCAGGAGGCCGCAGTCTCCAGCAGCAGAGATGTTCATGACTGGGCACGGTCGCCAGAGCCAGGGTGGGCCCTGGAACACATACTGGAAGTGGTGTAGTAATTGCATGCGATGGATGTATGCAGATGGTCATATCAGCACTCCTGTGGATCCTGCCGATGCCCAGTCCTTGTGCGAAGCAGCTAGCGATAGGGAGGGGTGGCGGCAGTACGCGAGACATGTAGTGCAGCGTTACATTCAGACGCCAACGTTGGTGGCGCCCAGTGCTTGGAGCAGTGGCCTAGCTCCCTACCGCATTCAAGCAGCGTGGATGCTAGTTGTGCTGGTCTCCTTTTCCGATGGAGCATACACCTCTTACACGCTGGATGCTGGGGAGGGGTGGCTCTACCTGTCAAGGGATGTGGCGTTGCAGTCTTGCCTCCACAGAGCTGCGACGCATTATGCCATGCTGCGCCAAGTCAATCCTCTTGTCATTTTAGCCCAGGTTCCGGAGTTTCTTGTAGATACTTGCATACACCAAATACCCCACATGAAGAGCCTCTTTTGGCAACAATCCCAGATACTGGTGTTTGAAGAGGTTCAGGAGAGGGTCGTTGACGAAGTCATCCGACTCGCATGATGTCGCCTGAACAACCTCGCTCACAGGCAAGCTACCACAGGAGCCCTGAAGCAAAAAGGGTTTAGGGTTTAGGGTTTAGGGTTTAGGGTTTAGGGGTTTAGAGTTTGGGGTTTAGGGTTTAGTGTTTAGGGGACCCAGGCGAGGACTCACGCAAGCCTGCTGCCGAAGGGCTTAGGGTTTAAGGCTTAGGGTTTAGGAAGCTCGAATCCCTGAACCCTAAGCCTCAAACGCGGATTGGTTAACGCATTACAGCCTCCTAAGATCACATTCAACCCTCATTCCTCAAGGGCTTTAGGGTTTAGGGCTTACTTGAAGGTTCATGTACTTATTAATCAACCAATTGTGTCTGTACCTATAGCCCAAATCAGAACTTAGGGCACTTGAGGGGCTTATAAGGGGGCTATAATGTACAGTTATACTTGGTTAAGAAGTACCCTAAACCCTAAACCCTAAACCCTAAACCCTGAACCTCCAAGTAGGGGTACATTTGGATTCAGGGTTTGCGGGGGGCCCGCATCCGCCAAGGTGGCCGCCATGTACGAATCCTGCAGCCTGATTACATCCAAGCCTGCCCCGAATTGCGCAATATTGCTTTGGGGTTTAGGGTTTAGGGTTTAGGGAGTGTTTAGGGTTTAGGCTCTAGGGTTTGGGGTTTAGGGTTGAACTTTTTTCTAGGGTTTAGCTTAGAGTGGACGCTTTCTAAACATTGAGCGCCCTCCCCTTTGGGAACCTCAACGTCCGAGCCTTGCCGCCTTGCCCCGAGCCGAAGTGCAGAAAGATGTCTCAAACCGACCAAGCTCCCATGAGGGTTTAGGGTTTAGGGTTTAGGGTTTCGGGTTTCGGGTTAGGGTTTTGGGCTTAGACGACTCTAAACCCAAAACCCTAAACCCTGCAAAACGCAGTTCAGCAGTCCCGCCTGGGACTCGTGCTTTTTTGGTACCATTCAGTGGCCGTTCCTTTTTTGTATAAAGCCCATGAAACTGCGGGTGAGTGGCTAGGGTTTAGGGTTTAAGGGTTTAGGGTTTAGTTTAGGGTAAGGCTTAGGGTTACAATGGGCTGGAAGTGAAAGTTGGCTGCTTAAACAGTTTTTGTGCTGTGGCAGCCTAAACCCTGTAGCCAACACCACCCGACAAAGGCCATGATCCCTTCTAGGGTTTAGGGTTTAGGGTTTAGGGTTTAGGGTCTAGGGTTTAGGGGTTTAGGGTTTAGGGTTTGGGGGTTTCTGTTCAGGTATGTCTGCTATCGGCTGCTGCGACAGTATCGAGCAGAAAGTGGCTTGCTTGCAGGGAACGTACGCTGCACGAGCCATTACACCCTAAATAGTGTTTAGGGTTTAGGGTTTAGGGCCGAAGCCCTATCAAAGGACGTAGTGCATCCCTGCCGTGTGGTTGCGAGGCTGCTAGGCAGGGGTAAGTTTTCTACTCCTGGGCTAAAACTCTAGGGCTCATGGGTCATTGCTTCAAGTTTCCGAAGGAAAACCCTAGGCGGGTGGCAAAAACAGCAGCCCTAAAGGGAAGTTGGGGCCGTTAGGGCCTCAAGGGCCTTAAAGGCATGGAATGCAACGTCTCAAAGGTTTAGGGTTTAGGGTTTAGGGTTTAGGGTTTAGGGTTTAGGGTTTGGGGTTTAGGGTTTAGGGTTTAGGGTTTAGGGTTTAGGGTCATGCACCTGCAGCCTGCGCAGGCGGATTGCCAGGATGTTCTCACTGGGATGCCACCGACGGCTTGTTCCGACGTCCCCAAGCTGAGCATCTCTAGGGCTACACCCCTTAGGGTTTAGGGTTTAGGGTTTAGGGTTTAGGGTTTAGGGTATAAACCCTGAACCCCTGAGCTTGAGCCCCCCGGAACCCTAAGCCAACCTCAAGGTCGAACAACTTTTGGCGCCCCTCACTTAGAGTTTTGGGGCTTGGGCTTTGGGTTTAGGGTTTAGGGTTTAGGGTGGTTTAGGGTTTAGGGTTTAGGGTTCAGGGTTTGGGTTTAGGGTTTAGGCTTTAAGATTTAGGGTCCAGGGTTCAGGGTTGTGGGTTTAGGACCGAGGTTTGAGGGTTCTTTATGATACACTCAATTTGCCTGCAACATGCCAAGCATGGCTAGATTGTGTTTGCCAGGTGAAGCCCTACAGCAAGCGCGAAACTACCAACAACAAAAAGACGAGACCCTAAACCCTAAACCCTTGAAGTAGGGTTTGGGGTGTAGGGTATCGGACCGCCACATGCACACATGCTGCCGCCGCTTGGGATGTGTCAGCTGGCTTCAAATCTCAGGGTTTAGGGTAATTTAGGGATGGGGTTTAGGGTTCAGGGTTTAGGGTTTGGGGTTCAGGGTTTAGGTTTTAGGGTTTAGGGATGCTAAAGGGTTTGGGTTTTGTGTTTAGGGCATGGTTCTGTTTGGAAGGGGCAGACAAACAAGTTCATCATGCTCTGAAGGGCTCCAGGAATTGTTCAACCTTCCCTAACCCTATAAAACTTGTGTTGTCGCCCCTCCCTTAGGGGTCGGGTTCACGGTTTTTAGGGCTTACAGGGTCCCTAAACCCTAGCCCTAAACCCTAAACCCTAAACCCGAAACCCCTTTCTTCGCCGGTTATCTCAGGGCAGTGGCGGCTCAGGTGGCTCCGTTGCAGTTGGCTTCACTTGGAGTTCTTATTAACCAATTGGGGTTTAGGGTTTAGGGTTTAGGGGTTCTTATTAACCAATCATAACTGTACTTCTAACCCACTTGTAAGCCCCTTAAGCGCCCTAGCATGGTTATAATTTGGGTAAGAGCAGTTATAATTGGTTAGTAAGTACCATGAACCTCCAAGCAAGACTGAGCCGCAAAGCTCAGCGCCAGGGGCTTTCTTTGCAGGCTGCAAGTTGCAGTATGGCCTTAGGGTTTAGGGTTTGGGGTTTAGGGTTGAGGGTCTAGGGTTGAGGGTTTAGGGTTTAGGGTTGAGGGTTTAGGGTTTAGGGTTTAGGTATCGTATCGAAGCAGGGTTGGAGATGGATTTGGAGGTGGTTGCACTCTGATATGTACACCGTTTGGATACGGGGCTGTAAATCTTAGTCTACAAGCCGTGAACCAAAAAGTGCTAGAGCTTGGAGCCACACCAAGACCATCTTCTACACAAGTCACATGGTGGGCCTGTCGGGCTCTACGCACCTTGCACAGCGTCCAGAGATAGATTAAACACCCCAAGCCCTACAGCTTGGGATGTTCCAGCTTATACTTGCTCACATGCGTCCTTAACAGGGATGATTATGATTATTAATATTATTATTATTATTATTAATATTATTATTATTATTATTATTATTATTATTATTATTATTATTATTATTATTATTATTATTATTATTATTATTATTATTATTATTATTATTATTATTATTATTATTATTATTATTATTATATATATATGTTTTTCTTTTGGGGGGGGGGGTACTAGAATCCCTATTAAGGACTGTCAGTATAAGGGGGAACATTCCAACCTTCAGGACCCTAAACTCTAAACAAAGGTGGCGGCGGCTACAACGGTGGCCCTGGTGGTGGCGGTTCAGATGACTTCGGGGCGGAATGCAAAGGCCAGGGTTAGGGTTTCGGGTTTGGGGTGTAGGGTTTGGGGTTTAGGATTTGGGGTTTAGGGTTTAGGGCTGAGGGTTGAGAGTTTGAGGGGTTAGGGTTTAGGGTTTAGGGTTTAGGGTTTAGGGTTTAGGGTTTAGGGTTTAGGGTTTAGGGTTTAGGGTTCGCTGTGAAATGGCGCAGAAGCTGTGAAGGTTGTGACGCGGCTCGCTTCGAATCCAAAACCCCAAACCCTAAACCCCAAACCCCAAACCCTAATCCCTAAACCCTAAGCCCTAAGCCCTAAGCCCTAAGCCCTAAACCCTAAACCCTAAACCCTAAACCCTAAACCCTAAACCCTAAACCCTAAACCCCAACCCTTACGACCCTAAACTCCTACATGCCGATTACTCACGACCTGTACTAACCCTTGGAGGAGCCTTGAGCCCTGCAAACCCCCGAGCCTCTACTTAAAACTTTGTCAGGCCCATAGAACCCTAAACCCTAAACCCTAAACCCTAAACCCTCACCCCTCACTTCAACTCGAGACCCCCAAACCCTAGCTGGAGGTTCATGGGTACGTATAACTTAAAACTCCAATTGTGCCTATACCTAGGGCCCCCTAAGCCGCTGTAAGTAGGTGATACGTAAGTACAGCGACAATCGGGGTTATAAGTACCCGTGAACCTCCAAGTAAAACTCCGCAAAACCCTAGACCACCACCCCACTGCGGTTTAGGGTTTAGGGTTCAGGGTTTAGGGTTTAGGGTTTGGGGTTTAGGGTTTCCCCTCAAGAGTGAAGGTGATTCCAGGACGTGGAGTGCTGGTTTCGGAGGATGCGACACGTGGACCCGGCGAGACCTTCACTTGGGCAGAGATCTTGAAATTTGGGGGCCAAGGGTTTTGTTCTAGGGTTTAGGGTTTAGGGTTTAGGGTTTAGGAGGTTTTAGGAGGTTTAGGGAGGCTCAGGGCTTTAAGGCATCGCTTTTTGTTTGAGGAGGGGGTGGATGCAATGACCGGACAGGAGCCCACAAGACTTTGTGATGCTTACTGTAGCTTTAGATACTTAGGCTTTTGGGGTTTATTGGGTTTCTTGATAAGGCAGCTACGAATTTCGTTTATGGCTACCCTGCTAAGCGCAGCCCAGAAGATTGCCCCATATCCGAAACCCTTTGACGATCCCGGTGGCCTCGGAGTCGTCCCCGCAGTGTGCAGTTTTAGCGGAGTCCTGGATGCTCTTTAGGGTTTAGGGTTTAGGGTTGAGGGTTTAGGGTTTAGGGACACACTTTGAAACCGCAAGCCCCCCCCCCTCCATCATGTCGAATGCGTAAGTCGCCGCCCCTGAAACACCCTGACTAGGACCCGGAGTGGGCCCCAACCTTTTTGCAAGGGTTTAGGCCCATGTAAAACCAAAAGGGCACACCCTTTCCATTCCTAGGTTACTCCTGGGTCTAGTCTCAGAGCCTACCTTAAACCCCAAACCTTTAACCCCTTAACCCCTTAAACCCTAAAAGCCTTAAACCCTAAACCCTAAACCCTAAACCCTAAACCCTAAACACCCAGGGCATGAGAGCGAAGCCAGGTATGGACCTGGTGGCGTGAACGATGGCTGGTGCATGCTTGACTCAGACAGCAGCGGCGTCTATGCCGGGGAGGCCACGCTGCTGCTAAACCCTAAACCCGAGACCCTAAACCCTAAACCCTAAACCCTAAACCCTCAACCCTTAACCCTAAGCCCTAAGCCCTAAACCCTAAACCCTACAAACCCTAAACCAACTTGCTGTAGGGTTTCGGGCTTGGCCTCCGGGGGGAACCCGCTCGCAGCGATGGCCAGTTGCGGTCTAACGTTACGGGTTTAGGGTTTAGGGTTCAGGTAAACCCTAAACCCTTACCCCTATAAACCCTAAACCCTAAACCCTAAATCCTAAACCCTAAACCCTAAACCCTAAACCCTTAACCCTAAGCGGATTCAAAACGGCTTTACGGATTAGGGTTCTTACGGGCTACTTGGTTGCCTCGCCGGCCCCTGGAGCATGAATCCGAGGTCTCATACGACCTGGGGTCCTTGGTTTAGGGTTTAGGGTTTAAAGTTTAGGGTTTAGGGTTTAGGGTTTAGGGTTTAGGGTTTGATTTAGGGTTAGGGTTTAGGGTTTAGGGTTTAGGGGCTAGCTGATTATGGCAACCAATTAAACCCTTAAAGCCCTTTGTCCTGCATCCATAGGCCTGAGTGAGAAATGAATTAAAGCAGCTGCCCTTGGCTTTTTCTGAAGGCCTGCCCGGAGTGCGGCACGTGTACTGCCGCTCACTCAGGGGTTTCGGATTTAGGGTTCCGGGTTTTAGGGTTTAGGGTTTAGGGGCTTGAGCATGTTCCTGTTAACGAGTCCTGCTTGCTGCACAACTGTGAAGCCGTTTAGGGCTTCAAAGGGGCTTGAGAATTGTCGCGCAAGACCACCGCGCACCCTCATTAAATTCGACTCACAGAAATCCAGTTCCGAGAAGTCCCTTCACTGAGGAGGACCCTAACCAGAAACCCCATAAGATTAAGAAGTGAGGGGAACTTGATTCCCCAGTTCCGGATGAAGAGCCAACAGAACCCCTAGAACCCCCGGCGAGCTCCCAAAAACAAGTGGTGCTTCGCCAGGATGTAGGGAATCCGGTGCCAGACATAATCCGTGTTTTCTTCGGGGGCATAATGGGCATCAAATTCAGCCCAAAACCCTAAACTCCAAACCCTAAGCCAGTCTCTCATTCCCGGAAAAAAGTGACCTAGGTACGCAAAGTGGGCGGACACCGCAGTTCCCGACATGTCCGTGAAATCCGCCTACACCTTTTTGAAGACCCTGAAACCCTAGGGTTTAGGGTTTAGGGTTTAGGGTTAGAGCCTAAGCCTTAAAGCCGAAATCTGTATCTATGTTTGGGTTTGCAGGAATCCTGCCAGGTCTAAGATGACAGACCTTCGAACCGAATCCATGCCTGCCTTGTGCGAGTGTGAGAGCCGAAACCCTAAACCCTAGACCCTAAACCCCAAATCTTCCATTCGCTGTCGAGGGTGGAGTTGCTTAAGACGTGGGCCCAACCTCCCAACACCCTAAGTCCGGCGGGTTTAGGGTTAAGGGTATAGGGTTCAGCGTTTAGGGTTTTGAAAACCCGAAAACCGCCGGTTCCCCAGAGCCCCGAAGCCTCCGAAGCTACGTAGTTAGGGGGTTTGAGGGCTTGGGATTAGGGTTTAGGACCCGAGCTCTAAAGCAGCTACCCTAAACCCTAAACCCTCTTACAAACTGTGTGGGGTGACAAGCCGAGGCGGCTCCTCAAACCGCACAGGCGCCTCAGCTGGCAGGGCTTTCGTGTTTAGGGTTTAGGGCTCAGGGGGCTCCATAGGACAGAGGGGTTGAGGCGCCAGGCGCCAGGCGCCCCCGCCATGAGGGAAAAAAACTACAGAGCGAGAGAGGGTTTGGGGTCGGAAAGGGTTTAAGGCTCAAGGGTTTTAAACAGTCCGATCCCACTGAAAGAGCGGCAGTTTCGGAAAATCGAAAAGAAGCAATGCATATTAACTCCCGACAATGAAGGTTGCTAACGTGAAATCCTGCAAGAACAAGCAAGAAGGTTTAGGGTTTATAGGGTTTGTAGGGTTTATAGGGTTTATAGGGTTTTTCGGGTTTTAGGGTTTAGGGTTTAGGGTTTAGTGTTGCCTTTAGGAGTCGGTGGTTCACGTCCGGGTTCAAGGCGTCACAAACACCCTTGAGATGAACAAAGTTCTCTAAACTCGCCAAACCCTAGATGAATGCACCCCAACAGGGTTTAGGGTTTAGGGACATCGATATGTATGAGCCTCCACTAGAATCCAGAGTAGGCCCAGAAGAGACGCATTCTGACGGTGGCAAGATTCTTAACTTCACAGGTCCCTAAATCCTGCAGCGGGGGGTGGGGGGTGGGGTGGCGCTTAAGCCCCTCGAGCCCGGTACCGGAGCCCATTCCCTGAATTCTGCTATCTCCTCCCTGAAACCTGCCTGAAACCCGCCTAGAAACCTTCCTGGGACCCCTGGGACCCTCTCTCTTTAAGCTCCCTGAAACCTCCCCGGAGCCCGGAAAACCCCTCTGCGACCCCCCTGAAAGCTTCTTCATGGGGACCGATGAGGTGAGGAGCAGCTCTACAATCGATTGGGTTCAGGGTTTAGGGTTTAGGGTTTAGGGTTTAGGGTTTAGGGTTTAGGGTTTAGGGTTTAGGGTTTAGGGTTTAGGGTTTAGGGTTTAGGGTTTAGGGTTTAGGGTTTAGGGTTTAGGGGGTCTAGGGTGTAGGCCTAAGCCCTCGAAGGAATAGGTGCTGGGGGCGGGGGTCTCGAGTTCCATTCTTGTGGCCTACCGCGAAGGAAAAGGTGAGGGTGGTTTTGCCACCTGAGATGGCGTCGGGTGGGAGGAAAATGTTACATGGCCCTCCAGCTGGCATTTCCCCAAGCTTGCGAAGCTACTCCAGTGCTTCTGCGCTGCAGCACAGCAAACCCTACACCCTAAACCCTAAACTCTAAACCCTAAACCCTAAACCCCAAACCCCAAACCCAAACCCTAAACCCCAACCCTAAACTAAAGCCCTAAGCCTAAACCCTAAAACCCTAAACCCTCGAAGCTCCGAAGCCTCAAAGCCCAAAGCTCAATCGGGCCCGGTGTCCCTGAAATCCCAAGATGCCCTGTCTGGTGGACCCGTTTGGTGTTGAGGGGTTAGGGTTTAGGGCTAGGGTTCAGGGTTCAGGGTTTAGGGTTTAGGGTTGAGGGTTGAGGGTTGAAGGGTTTAGGGTTGAGGGTTGAGGGTTGAAGGGTTGAGGGTTGAAGGGTTGAGGGTTTAGGGTCTAGAGCCCTGAAGAGGTCTTCATGGCCGTGGCTTGCTCTTGGTGCAGACGCACGGCTGCCCTAGATTGAGAGGACCAAGGCAGCCCTAGGAAGCCCTGCAGCGTCCGAGTTTGAGGGGGGGTCTTGGGTCTAGGGCTTAGGGGCTTGGGGTTTTAGGGTTTAGGACGCTGCAGTCCCTCCTTAAAATAAAGGGGTTTAGGGTTAGGGTTTGGGGTCTAGGAGTGTAGGGGTTTAGGGTATAGGGTTTGGGGGGTTGGGGTTGTTTCAGTTTGGGATTAAGGTTGGGTTTTTGCTGGGGCGATTGGGGCTTCGTGGGTCCCGGGCCCTCGGCTGTCGGCCCCAACTACTGTACGAACCAACTACTATACGAACTATGTACCAGTTCCAACTCATGAAGAATTACGAGCAATCTTATGACTTCACGCCAGGCGGGGCGCGGGTCCTCCGGTTGGGGTTTGCGTCGCCGGCAGCCACCGCCGGGGGCAGAAGCCTGTTAGGTCTCCCACTTCTCAGAAGCCTCCATCCCAGTGGGGTTGACATCCCCGAAACCCGAAACCCTGCGGTCAATCGAGGGAGTAGATGGTTTCTGTGCGGGTCTTGAGTTGCACGCAGCCCGACCACATGAACCTTCAACATCGGGTGAAGAGGCCGTTAACAGTAATGATATGAACGAATTGCATCAAAAATCACGTCTTCTTTGCTCACTTCTTTCTATTACTAATCTTACTGTATTTTAATCCTTTTCTTCTTTCATTTCGTCCTCACTTCTATTAATATTACCGCCCGGAGATCTGTTCATAAGAGCAAAGTTGAGGCAGTAAACCCCCCTTGACAGTAAAGATAATCTTTGGGAAAATGAGCTAGATAACAGAAAACATATTAGAAGATAGAGAAGATACAAATAAAAGTAAAAGAAAAAAACCCAATTGCAGTACATATTGTTTCTGAAAGACCAAAAGATAGTAGTATTTGCGTATTAACTGCTCCCTTCATATAATAGCAGCATGTATTAAGTCTATTAAAAGGCACACAAAGGGATATTACAACGGCCCTAATAATAAAGAAATGGGGCAACAGACGCCATTAATATTATAATTTCGGGCCCTAAACCCTAAACCCTAAGTCCTAAACCCTAAACCCTAAACCCTAAACCCTAAACCCTAAACCCCACTTAATATCTTATCTGGTGTCCTTTTCCCCGTGCTGGGCATCGAAGGGGGTGGGAGTCTCTGTGCCAGCATGCTGTGCTTCCCTGCTTAGGGCTTTAGGGTTTAGGGTTTAGGGTTAGGGTTTTGGGTCCCCCCACCCCCCCACCCCCCCTACCGAAACCTCTCAACCCTCAAAGCCGGAAATGGTTGTTACCCTTTAAAGCCTAAACGCTAAACTCTACACCTAAACCAGGGTTCGGGGGTTTGAGGACGTGTTGTGGGAATGGGGCTTCGAACTGTTGGAGTTGGCGTAAGATTGCAACATAGGCGGGGGGTGCGGGGGGAAACAAGGGGGGGGGAGGGTGGGGGGGGGGGGGTGGGGGGTTGGGGGGGTTTGAACGTTGTGCAAATTGGCGCAGCCCCCCCCCCCCCCCCCCCCCCCCCCTCCTGCGTGTCCTGCAAAATCTGGCACGATGTGCCTGGTCCCCTAAGCCCCAAAGACACGACTGGTCAGGACAGTCTGGAGGGGTGGGTGTGGGGGGGTTGGGGGAAAAAAGGGGGGCCCCCACAACCATCCAACACGCTGCCAGGGTCGGCGGACCCTAAACCCTAAACCCTAAACCCTAAACCCTAAACCCTAAACCCTAAACCCTAAACGCTAAACCCACCAGGGGGCCCATGGGGGGGGGGGACCCTGGGGGGGGTGGGGGGGGTGGGGGGGGCGGCGACGCTGCGCCGCACGCCCTGAACCCTAAGCCGCCAATGAACGACAGGAGGGAGAGGGGGGGGAGAGGGGGGGTCCTATGCTGGCCCATATACACCCTTCTCCGCCGCCTGACCATGAGTATGAACCCGATGAAACGCGCTCTTCATCCTAGAGCCAGGGGGAGATCCCGATCAGTTCGTGGGACCCCTACTGGGAGGTTCATGGTACTTATGAACCAATTACAACTGTACTTATAACCCAAATTATAACCATAATAGGGCAGTTAAGGGGTTTGTAAGTGGGTTGTAAGTACAGTCAGAATTGGTTAATAAGTACCAGGAACCTTCAAGTAAGGACATCGGGCCCGGCTGGTTCAGCCCTATGGGGTTCGTCCGCCTGTGATCATCACCTGAGTGAGAGGGTGGCAGCAGCCAGGCTCCTTGTCCGTGGCCAGCTTTGGGGAATGTGAGCATACTCCTCGAACACAACGCATTTGTTTTTGTCCACATGTCTTGTCTTCGCGCCACCCTCTGAAGTAGCGGTTCGGCCTTCTTGGACCCTGGTGCTAAGTGCTAAGGGTTTGAGGGTTTAGGGCTTTCGGGATTTTACGGATTTAGGGTTTATAGGGTTTAATTAGGGTTTAGGGTTTAGGGTTTAGGGTTTAGGGTTTAGGGTTTAGGGTTTGGGGTTTAGGGTTTCGGGTTTAGGGTTGAATTCTGAATTCAGGGTTCCCATAAGAGGGGCCCTGAGAGCTGAGGAATCACTGCCTGGACATCCTCGAGCCTTTGCCTGGGCGAGGCGGACTCCGTGCTGGAGGTGCGGGGTTTCAAGAGTCTCTACTTGCGTGTCAAGAGAAGGGTTCGGGGTTTCCCAGGCCGTTGGGTTCTGTTAGGGTGTAGGGTTTAGGGTTTAGGGTTTAGGGTTTAGGGTTTAGGGTTTAGGGTTTAGGGTTTAGGGTTTAGGGTTACGAGCCCAGGTGTAGAAGGGTTTAAGGCAAGCCCATAATTTGTAGCTTAGGCTTGGGTTTTCATGGTAGGTCCTGCAAGCCTATAGATGTTGAGGGTTTGAGGTTGCTTCGGGTCTGGGGTTGACGGTGAACCCCCTCAAAAAAGAACCCCAAAACCCCAAACCCCAAACCCCAAACCCCAAACCCCAAACCCCAAACCCCAAACCCCAAACCCCAAACCCCAAACCCCAAACCCCAAACCCCAAACCCTAAACCCTAAACCCTAAACCCCAAACCCCAAACCCCAATCCCCAATCCCCAAACCCTAAACCCTAAACCCTAAACCCCAAACCCCAAACCCTAAACCCTAAACCCCTTCTGCGCAGGAGTGCTCGAACGCGACCCTGGCGGCCATGGGCTTCGCCTTCACTCTGGAGATGCTTGGTCCAGGAATTGGGGTTTAGGGTTTAGGGTTTAGGGTTTAGGGTTTAGGGTTTAGGGTTTAGGGGATAGGGTTTAGGGTTTAGGGTTTAGGGTTTAGGGTTTAGGGTTTAGGGTTGCTTTGGGGGGTTGGCGTCTGGGTGTTTTAGGGATTCGGGATTCGAGTTGAGGGTTGAGGGTGTTTTAGGGATTAGAGATCAGGGCTTAGGGTTTAGAGAGGGCGCAGGGGGATCCCTTTGAGAGCCCAATACTCCCGCAAACAAAAGACAGACGAAGGGTCCAAACTCTAAGCCGTGAACTTGTTCTGGCCGCAAGTTAGGCTGAACATCGCCAGACACCAAACCCCAAACCCTAAAGGCAAGGCTTCTTGTTTTGAGGGCCCACTAGCCAGGGCTTCGGCTCAGTTCTCAACCCCCTCCATGATAAGCCCTGCTTCCAGCTTCTTTCCCGGGTTTAGGGTTTAGGGTTTAGATTTTAGGGTTTAGGTTTTTGGGGTTTAGGGTTAGGGCCTAGGGTGTAGGGCTTAGCCCAGTGGTACCCTTTATCCCTTTTTTGGTTCAAGGCTCTCTTGTGCAGTAACCAACCCAAAAAGGGTACCGTGATTATAGTATGGTTACCAGTACACCAAGGAAGAATGCCTTAAAGCCGCTCATTTCTCGCACTTAGGTTTCACAAGAGGCCAGGCCTTCTCAACATAAGCCCCCCAAGTCCTGACTGGAGCACGTCTTTTTCAGGTTTAAGCCCCTCACCCCCCTCAACCCCCCCCCCCTTCCACCCCGCGGACACAAGACGAAGGGGAGGTTGATGTTGCGAAGTGAGCATTACTCGAATCAGCCGCGAAGCTCCGAGCCGTGTCTCCTCAATCGCTAAACTCCGCCCCAACGCAAATCCCCTGAACCCGCCGCCCCATCTCCCACGCACCCCAAGGAAAGTCGAATCTGATGTTTGTTCGTCAGGCACCGGCGTCTTTCCTGGGGAGCCCAATTGCCTGATGTCTAAGGGTCACACTGGTGGACCGCTAAAGTCTAAAGTCTAAAGACTCTGCAGGATTGCGTTCCCTAGTAGAGGTCCCCTCACCCAGACAGCCCCATGCACCCCAAAAAGCTCGTGCACGGAAGACCCTCAGAGCTCTGTTTGTCATCCCGGCCTCCTACTGCAGCCTCAAGGGACTTACGGCCAGAGGGGTTTGGGTTTCAAGTCAAGCACACACACATGCACGAAGCTGTGAGTTGTTGGTAAGTGCTGGTACAGGCAGGCAAGTCATCATTGAATGATATAACACAGCAAACATGCTTCTTGGCATAGCTTTGCAGTATAGTAAGTACTCTTTATATAGTTCATAGGAAACCCCCCCCCGATAAAAGGAAGCATCACCGACATACAGCCTGCACATCCAACCTCGCTCTGTGCCTGGAATCTGGGATGCGTGTCTAGGGGTTTAGGGTTCGGGGTTTGGCGTCTAGGGGCTTAACGTTTATGGCTTATAGAGGTTTGGGATGAGGGTTTAGGAGTGGGCTTAACATTAGCTCCCCGAAGTGGCTCCGATGGCGGAGGCAAGCAGTGCACCATCTACACGGACGGGATCACCGGGCTTCTTCAACTTTACGTGCGAAGCCCTGAACCCCTAAGCCCGAAACCGCAATCCTCCGTAAACCCTAAAGCTCCAAGTCCCAAATCCAACCCCAGCCCTGGAGTTTCCAGCTTTATGGGTCTAAGGGCCACCCGGAGCCCCTAGCCCTAAACCCTACCCAGCACTGGTTGGTTTCAGCCCTGGTGGCTGTCAACACCACACCCAGCCAAGGCCCTGGTCGTATAACCCCCAAATGTTACCACGCAATGTCCCTAAACCTACAACTGCAAATAAATCAGCAACTGTGTATATACATATATATATATATATATGTATGTATGTATGTATGTGTGTATGTATGTATCTATGTATGTTTGCAGTTCTATTTATGTATTTGTCATCTGGTTTTTGTCCACGTGCATCTGTATATTCACATACCTGTACATACTATTTGCTACAAGCTGCCGGCATTTTTGCTTATGCGTACTTGCAGAATGCTCAGGTGGGAAAGCCCTAAACCCCAAACCCTAAACCCTAAACCCTAAAAGCCGCAATCGGAAAGGACGAAGCCGACTTCTTCCCAGCCGACGCAGAACAGCCCTGCACGACCTTCGCGCTGGCGCAGCCTGGTTGAAGGTTGAGGGTTTCAGGGGGAGGGTTTGAGGGTTTGGGGGTTTAGGGTTTAGGGTTTAGGGTTTAGGGTTTAGGGTTTAGGGTTTCAGGGTTTAGGGTTACCAGGGGGTTTCAGGGTTTTAGGGTTTTGGGGTTTAGGGTTTAGGGTTTAGGCTTTCAGGGTTTAGGGTTTCAGGGTTTTAGGGTTTAGGTTTTAGGTTTTCAGGGTTTAGGGTTTTAGGTTTTCAGGGTTTCAGGGTTTTGGGGTTTAGGGTTTTAGGTTTTCAGGGTTTTAGGGTTTCAGGGTTTAGAGTTTCAGGGTTTAGGGTTTTAGGGTTTCAGGGTTTCAGGGTTTCAGGGTTTATGGTTTTAGGGTTTTAGGGTTTTAGGGTTTTAGGGTTTTAGGGTTTTTAGGGTTCTAGGGTTTTAGGGTTTTAGGGCTTTAGGGTTTTAGGGTTTTAGGGTGTTAGGTTTTCAGGGTTTCAGGGTTTTAGGGTTTAGGGTTTTAGGTTTTCAGGGTTTTAGGGTTTTAGGGTTTCAGGGTTTAGAGTTTCAGGGTTTAGGGTTTTAGGGTTTCAGGGTTTCAGGGTTTATGGTTTTAGGGTTTTAGGGTTTTAGGGTTTTAGGGTTTTAGGGTTTTAGGGTTTTAGGGTTTTAGGGTTTTAGGGTTTTAGGGTTTTAGGGCTTTAGGGTTTTAGGGTTTTAGGGTTTTAGGTTTTCAGGGTTTCAGGGTTTTAGGGTTTAGGGTTTTAGGTTTTCAGGGTTTTAGTGTTTCAGGGTTTAGAGTTTCAGGGTTTTGGGTTTTAGGGTTTCAGGGTTTTAGGGTTTTAGGGTTTTAGGGTTTTAGGGCTTTAGGGTTTTCAGGGTTTTCAGGGTTTTCAGGGTTTTCAGGGTTTTCAGGGTTTTCAGGGTTTCGGGGTTTTGGGGTTTAGGGTTTTAGGTTTTCAGGATCTGGGGTTGAAGGTTGAAGTTTGAAGGTTGAGGGTTTCAGGGGGTTTCATGCTTTTAGGGTTTTGGGGTTTAGGGTTTAGGCTTTGGGTTTAGGGTTTCAGGGTTTTCGGGCTTAGGGTTTTAGGTTTTCAGGGTTTAGGGTTTTAGGTTTTCAGGGTTTAGGGTTTTCGGTTTTCAGGGTTTCAGGGTTTTAGGGTTTAGGGTTTTAGGTTTTCAGGGTTTCAGGGTTTAGGGTTTTTGGGTTGCAGGGTTTTCGGGTTTTAGGTTTTCAGGGTTTTAGGGTTTCAGGGTTTCAGGGTTGTAGGGTTTTAGGGTTTAGGGTTCGGCTTTGGGGGTTGTTCTCCAGGAATTCTGGAGTTGTGGGTTTCAGGGGAAACTTGCTTTGTTGAGGCCGGTTGTGCGGCGCTGAAAGCAACTTCAAGCCCCTAAGCCCTAACGCGTTATCAAAACTGAAGCCTCAGAACCGCCAAACGTTGAAACCCTAAGACCTTAAAGCCCTGTAGGTCTAGACCACAAAACCCTCAAAACCCCAAAACCTGGAAGCACTCTAGCCCTAAACCCTAGAATGCTGCAAAGCCCAGAAACTCTAGAGACCCAAAGCCCCAAAATCCTAAACCCCCAAACCCAAAGAGATCTAACGCCGTCGGACCCGAAGGTTTGAGAAACAACAACTACTTGGAGGTTCAGGGTTCCTTCAACCCCAAACCCTGAAAACCTAAAACCCTAAACCCCAAAACCCCGAAACCCTGAAAACCCTGAAAACCCTTATTAACCAATGATAGCATTAACTGCACCTATAACCCACCTGTAAGCCCCTTAAGTTCCCTAGTAGGGTTATTTGGGTTATAGGAGCAAACCCGCGGGCATGCCTAAACCCCTAAACCCTAAACCCTAAACCCTAAACCCTAAACCCTAAACCCTAAACCCTAAA